GGCTTTCTGCAGTTTTCGTCTTGCTTATTCGCGCCTATAGCCCCTATTTCTTACCTTCTGGTCTTCCACCTTACGTTCTTATTTCGTAGGCTCACTTTCTCTGCCACTCTTGCCTTACATGAATTGATGATGATGATGGTCCAAGAAGGACCGAAACGTGTCATTTCTTTCGTTTTCAGATGTATGGGATGAGTGAGAACAGTATAATCGTGCTGGTGTTTGGTCGTAACTAAAGGTTCCGACATTTATTATGTACCACCGCCCACGGGATGGGTATTAGGTACATAGTAAATGACTAAAATTAACTGAGGATTTCACTAATGTTCATGAGGACGGGCAGCCTCGTCCACAAACAACCTGTAGCCTAACCCTCGGAGAGTGCAAAAGAGTGCTTGCGCACCGTCCAATCAGACGCTACAGATCCTCCACATGACGTCATAAGACGCCACTTATTGGCTAAAACAAGTCACATGTAGTGGGCGGGACTAAGGGAAAATGCGTCTGTGTTCTACCGGACGCCATCTTGACCGGCCAGAAAAATGCACATTTACGTAAACAGATCTTAACCTCGTTGCAAAACTTACGACGTCCTAATTTACAAGCATTTCTGCTGTCTCGTATGTCAGTTTCTTCTGTGTATGACTGTCAACGGTGTCCTTAACGATGTTATTCGTTATGCTGGATTACCGCATCGTTACATTAAACCTTTCGCTGCAGCAGTCACTATCTCCTATTTCCTCCTGTGCTCCAATTGCTAGTTGTGATTTTTCCTATTTGATGTCTTAATTATTTCACGTTAGGTGCACCTCGATGTGTTAATTGTTAGTAATTGCGCAGTTTAGGGGTTTGGGAGGGTCTAGTTAAGAATATTTCAGAGAGGTGAAAACATAATTTGTTTCCATTTCCCCTCTTTCCTCCCTTTTCCCTTTTCCCTCTTCCTTCTCTTTTCCCTCCCTCTCCCCACATCTCTCTCAGAAAATTTATTATTAGAAAGCACTCAAACTAATAATAACTCTATGGAAAATACAACAAATATTTCAGACTTGGCCATAAAAACTGCATGAGGAATCTCTGCAAATGCTGTTATTTCTTAAAGCATTTCACTTGGGCTGATCCCAGCTAGCCTATGGCACTCCCCGAAACAACACGATTCATCTTGAAAAATTGGGTGGGACTAGCCACAAGCGTCAGACCCCCAACCTCAGACATTTTATTATATATATAGATAAATGTCAGCAACGAAGAGTCCCGTACACCTGGTCTTACGAAGCGTTAGGTTGCCACATTGCATGACTGCTGGTGTGTAATGATGCCTGTATCAGTGATGACATATAGTTTGGATCATGCAATATAAGGACGAATGTTATTGATCTTTCTCTAGTGTATATATATATATATATATATATATATATATATATATATATATATATATATATATATATATATATATATATATATATATATATAACCTTTTTGTGCAATTTTTACAACTGTTTTTTTCTCTCTCTGAGTTAATGCCTCCTCATGAAAATGGGGAACAGGTTTATGATAATTCATAAATGTAAAAGATAAGTACATAGCAGAAAATAGTAATCAATAAACTTTAACAATACCCGCACCGCTTTTCCGTAGCGGTGCGGGTACACTGCGGGTACACTCCGGTTCCCACAAATAAACAACGAAAGTCCCAACACAACGTCTAAAAATGTGCATAACAAATGAATTTGGGGAAACTGTGGAGAAAGCATTATAATAGTCACTGCATTGGCTGTAAAGACCATCATAGCCAGGTGGTTATCTTGAGGTTATCTTGAGATGATTTCGGGGCTTTTTAGTGTCCCCGCGGCCCGGTCCTCGACCAGGCCTCCACCCCCAGGAAGCAGCCCGTGACAGCTGACTAACTCCCAGGTACCTATTTACTGCTAGGTAACAGGGGCATTTAGGGTGAAAGAAACTTTGCCCATTTGTTTGTGCCTCGTGCGGGAATCGAACCCGCGCCACAGAATTACGAGTCCTGCGCGCTATCCACCAGGCTACAAGGCCCCTCGTAGGGCGTGGGTGTAGTTGTAGTGAAGCCAAGGTTGTTATGGCGTGTTGTGAGCCCCAGACACGCTTTCGACTCTGGTTGTTCCCAGGGAATGGTGGTGTGCAGGTTGGCGTGTCCCGGGAACGTTGCAGAACACATATATAGGTGTGTGTGTGTACTCACCTATTTGTGTTTGCGGAGGTTGAGCTTTGGCTCTTTGGTACCGCCTGTCAACTGTCAATCAACTGGTGTACAGATTCCTGAGCCTACTGGGCTCTATCATATCTACATTTGAAACTGTGTATGGAGTCAGCCTCCACCACATCACTGCCTAATGCATTCCACCTGTTAACTACTCTGACACTGAAAAAGTTTTTTCTAACGTGTGTGTGTGTGTGTGTGTGTGTGTGTGTGTGTGTGTGTGTGTGTGTGTGTGTGTTCTATACCAGGTAGAAGGAAAGCTGCAAACCAATACAAACATGACATAGCAATCAAAATTGAAGAGCACTGGAAACTGTTTCACAACCATATAAGGAAAAATATGTCTGTGAATAACTTAGCATATGCCAAGGAGGATATCCTTTGTAATGTGGGCTTATAACCTCCAGTTCTTTCTCGCTTCCTGATTCTTGAAGAAATTCATCTCCCATTACTTTGCACTTACTTGAGTTAAACTCTAGTAATCATACTGGACAATTCTATTAGTTTGTCTAGACCATCTTATAGTTTGTTGTAATAATTATCTGGAAGCCCATCTACATATATCAGGAACATATATATCCAAATGTGGTGGTGCAGGGATGAGGAGGAAAGGGGAGGAAGGGAGAGGAAGGGAGGGTTAAGGGTAGGAAAGAGAGAGAGAGAGAAGAGCGGCTCACACGAGTTCAGAAGAGAATGGAGGTCAGACTCCACGAGAGTATATAAGGGTGACGCCATCTACTTCACCAACACAGCCGCCGACAGGTACGACCCACACAGCCTAGTCTCTCCTCGAGCTCTCTGGGAGAACGGTTGAGGCAGCCTATCGTCTGTTCGGGAGGACTTCGAACGCGCTCGCTAGTGATCCAACCTATCCTACTACAACCTGTCCTTATAAAACTTGTCCTCCTACAACCTATCCTCCTACAACCTGTCCCCCTACAACCTGTCCTCCTTCAACCTGTCCTCCTACAACATGTCCTCCTAATAGAACGTCGCATTTTGACGTATACTATACCTAAATCGCGAAATTGACGTACTGTCCCGTTTTTGGTCCTCTGGTAGGTTAGGATAAGGGCACTTTAGTTCGACAGTTTCTTGACGTTGGTAAATCTTACGAGGACGGTCTATAGTGTTAGGCTGCGAGCCTATTGCCCTCGGGAGTGTTGTTAAGGTTACCACAATAGTTTACGATTGTTATTAAAACTATACTCACAAATGGTCATGCCTTTGTATACAAAATCTTGAGTGTATACGAGGGAAAAGTATTAATGATAATCTAGAGCGAATCATTATAAATATACAATATATATTTCGTATAATAAAAATAACAATGCCCATTATGACAGGTTATTCAATATATGAGGCACAGCAAACATGATTAGATATATTAATAATAAAAGACAGAACACAACAAATAACATACTCAACATAATTTAACATGTTACGCAAAAAAAATCCTAGTGTATTAACATACTGTCATTGTTCAACATGGGTTCAATTGCTTGTGAGAAAGCTATCTGTTTGTGACTAATTCCTTAATAATAGCAAGTATTCAGTTAGACATAAATCTGGCCTCCCTGCTAATTTGGTATCTTATTCTGTCTTGCAGACTTGCAACAAATTACCCATTCCTGAGTTGAATTTTCTTACAATCAAGTTGATATTTCGGGGAAGTTTGAGTGTTTGGTGTTAAGTAAATGTCTGAAAAAAAGAGCTTGTGCTGGATGGGTGATTTCTTTTAGATAAAATGATACAATTCGTTTGTGAATCATTTTGTCCAAGTGTAGGTGTAGACATCAGGCCATACAGTAGAGTGTAGTGAGCGCGAGTGCGGGCATCTACGATGCAGCATAAACACGTTTTTTACTTAATAAACTGACCAAAGTCAGCATTTTTTCGCGGGTCCCGTAATTCACATCCATGCAAGCTGAGATCTTGTTGAATAACTTTACATTTGATCGGGTTTTAAGATTACCAAATTCAGTTGCAATGACAATTATTCTGACTTTAATATCTCTGTTATCATCAACAAAATATTCAGTGGGACATTTGAAGGGCCAAAAGCTTTTCTGAATATTTTACCGTAAACTAAATTGTATACAGCCTTGTAACTATTGGTTTGGATAAAACGAGTTTAACGAGAAAACACAACAGCACAGTTGTCACGATTAATCGGAATACTTTTTGATTGTGTATCCTCAAATGACCCAAAAATTCTTTTCCCTCTCTCTCTCTCTCTCCCTCTTAATATATATATATATATATATATATATATATATATATATATATATATATATATATATATATATATATATATATATATATATATATATATATATATATATATATTATTTTCAGTCTCCTTCCTTCTCACTCGCCTATTACACTCATCCACCACAGAGCACAAATTTCCTCACTTTCACTCCCCCTCAGACAGGCAGCCATCCCTGACTCACTCTCACAGCCACCAGCCATCCACAGCCTGTTATCTCAGCATGTCTCTTGCGTCATGGGGATGGGGGGAAGCGTATCAAATTTGCGGGGGGTTGAGTGGCAAGGACGAGGCTGCGGAGAGTGACGAGGGTGCAGAAATAGACCTTTGTTTTTGTGTTTTGAACATACATTCACATTTTCCCAGCTGCCCTGAACTATATGAAGAGTCTCTAGTGTGTGTGTGTGTGTGTTCACAACGTCTTAGTGTTGAGATTTCTGGTCGTAGAGCTTGCCTTGTTGGTTCCTAAAGACTGTTTGTTGGTGTTGTTTGGTTCACAGGATGGCACCACCACCAGCCTTGTTTGTCCTGTTGATGTGGTCTGGGCTTGCCGCCGCCCAGGTCAGGTTCGAGGACCAGGGGAAGATCACCTCTGCCATCAACAGTGTCAAGTCGATCCCACAACACAACCCATTACAAGGTCACCTGAAGCCCTCGACATTCACAAAGCCGGAACAAACCAGGTACTGATTATGATAGTTTTAAGCAAGTACGTTAATTACTTCTTTTATCAAGTGTTTTTCATTCTCTGCTTTATTAAACGCTTTTATTATGCAGTCAACTTTGTTTTATTTGCTTTTTACTCTTTTTATATTTCAAGACAGTTAAGTTATACTATAATACTGAAGACACAATAGTATCTGTGATATTATTGTTATACAATACAGTGAAGTCGCAATGTATCTATGATAATTTTTTTTTTTTTGGGGGGGGGGAGGGAGGAGAAGTGCGGTGGGATTGAACTCGCGTCCCGAGGTAACCCGATAAGCACGCATTACCCACTGAACCACGATGAACTAAAAATCAACATAAACCGAAGTATTACTGAAATTACAAGTAGTGTGGAGGGCACTGAGCTTAGTAGCAAAATTGGGATAACATTCCAACACACACGTTAACCATAATAAGAAAAAAATCACGTCCGCTCATATGATTAATGCTCAAAGGCTGGTTTTGCTTGCATCTATTTGTAAAATTACTTAAATTCCTCTAAATCGCGTGCTGCTTTTTCACGTTACAGAGACGGAGTACAGTACCCTACAGTGTTTGCTAATAAATGGTCTTATTAATGATACACAAGGTCTTCCACCACCGATTTTCTGAAGCTATCGACATTCCTTTGTATCTTACTGAAGTGTTATTTTAGCTTGCTGATGAAACCCGACCAATCTTCAGTGTCGCGTAAACTAACACACTATTGCTATCTACTCACCGTTCACTCGACTACACGCTTCATCCTCATACTACACGCTAGAGAGTCGCCAACAAGCCAGGTGCAATGGTTTGACAACATGTAAGCATGTTTCGCTATTAGTTGTATCAAGCAGTGCTCGATTACGCCATGAAATCACATGGACGTGATGCGTCCACGTGGCTTTGTTGTCCTCGTACGTCTTCGTGGGTTAGAAGACGTACGAGGACAACACTTCAACACAGTGTTGTCCTTCAACACACTTCAACACTTCAGTGTTGAAGCCGTACGGCTTCAGTGTCTTTTCAATAATGAGTTATTTGATTCCACCATTTCAGATTTGCTCCCGACGGGCTGGAGAGTCTGGACTCACTGGGAGTGTTGACAGACAAGGAGTGTCAGCAGTGTTCCATCACTGACCGAGAACTAGCTCTCAGGTGCTGTCAGTCCAGGCGCACCTGCTGCTCTTCCATCCTGTCACCTGAACCGGGAGTTCAGACAGGTCAAATTCCACCAGAGGCCTTCCCAGGACCTTCCCGGTTGTCAGGGCCTCTCCCGCGCCAAACTCCGGATCATGCTGGTCCCCCGGGGTTGATCGGATCGCTGGGGGAGAAGGTTGGGGCCTGTCCGGTAGTAACTCGGAGGGTTCCCACAGGCTTCAGCAGGTTCGCGGACGATGCTTGCGTGGCGGAGTGCAGCGGTGACTTCCACTGCCCAGACCTGCTGAAGTGTTGTCCCGTCGGCTGCTCCACCGTCTGCCTCACCCCACAAGGAGGTCAGCACTGCCTTCCTCAGTACATGTCGCACTTCTTCCCTCATACAACCACACTCGTAGAGTCTGGCTCATAAATAAGTACAAATTTAACATTGATCACATGGATCTATACATTTAATCACATACAAATAATTATAATTTAAAAAAAATAAGAAAGTTATGTAAAAGATACTCAATTTTGTATAGCAGAAATCATATTGCTTTTAGTCTCTACTGGCTGGCGTCATACAACCAGCTTCTAATCTTCTAATCTAAGATATTATTATATTTATCAGATTTGCTGAGCAGTATTAAAGATCTTTCCCGGGTCCTTTGATGGTCTTAAATACTTTTGTTAAATCTCTTTCTACGCATTTTCTTTCACGACTGAATAAACCATATATTTTCTTAAATTATGGTAGACAAAACTGTGCACAATATTTCAGAATTGGACGTACGAATGAACAGTGTAGTTAGGATGACTTTCTCAGATGACATCGAGCAACAATCCAAGAGAAGCTTAATATTTTGTTAGCATTCTGGCGCAGTCTCCGTTTTAATGGTCCAGTTTAGTAGACTAAAACTAAAGCGTCCTTGAATGCAGATGTAATTAAACCCAGATGCCTAAGATATTACTGTCCAGATATGCATTTTTTCCATTCTATCGAGGTTTAATGGCCTATATATATATAACTCCTATTAACAAGCAATCCTTTTCTTAATTTTTTTTCAGTCCAAACTGTTTCAGTATGGTGTTTTGTTTGGAATCTGTATGACACTGCTTTTTTATTTTTCTCTGCCATGTATTACTACTCCCTCTCCTTGTCTGATTGATGTTTGATTCACTGTAAAACAATTTGTATCTTTAAATATTGTATCTCAGTTTTTTATCTCTAAATCTTGTATTCTTCTGTAAGTTTCATGTATTCTGCGTTCTTCCCTGTTTCTGTTTCAGTAATATATATGTTGATTCTGTGCAACATGTGCCCTTAACTCATGAATTTAACTTATATTACTCCTGCAATTTATGCAATATCTATTTAATATGTTGCTATGTTAATGCTTGTGACATAGAAATTGTCCCAGTAGTCAATAAAGGTGCCTTGCATTATTCGATCAACTGGCAGCAGATTTCAATTGTTCTGCATATCAATTCATGGCTGACTAACTTACCCCAACCTAAATATATACATTTGTTAATATTTAACAACAATTACGCACACTACATGTCATCAGTTGAGCAAAATCTTTAATGTGTTAATACAGATTCTCTCCAACAGCGATTCATCCGACAACAAAGCCCGGGTCGTGTCCAAAACAAAGCTCGCTTGGCTTCCCAGGTCACCGCTTGGGAGTACTTGGGCTGTCTTCGGCCTCAAAAAACCCAGCGGCCATCTCCCCAGAGACGCTGGCACGTATCCTGGAGCAACAAGATGAGAAAGAACGCCGTCTAAACCGAAAGGAACGTCGCGGGGAACGCAGGAGGCGTAGGTCACTTCCAGAGGAGGAACAAAATGTCAATTTTCTGAAGCAGAGTCATAGTCGGGTAACGCGCTCATTCCACCGCCCCGAACAAGACGACCATCGAGAGAGACAACGAAACCGCTGGGAGCGGAATCGCGGACGCATACAGCGATCAACCGAAGTCGACCATCAGGATGACCGGTTAGGCCACGCTCAGCTAGACGGCATCCGATCAGATGAGAACGATGAGGGTGAAGCAACAATCATCAGACGCGTTGCTCGCCAGGCAGGGCCTCACCAACCAGGTTTCTTAGTTGATCCATCATGTCAGGACGAGTGCTTCACTGACTTTGATTGTCCTGCTAATCTGAAGTGCTGTTTCCAGGGCAAAAACTGTCGCCTGTGTTTTAGTCCCACATTCATTTAACCTGGGACCTTAAAAAAATGGTCCTGAGCGCCTCGGTAGTGTGTGTGTGTGTGTGTGTGTGTGTGTGTGTGTGTGTGTGTGTGTGTGTGTGTGTGTGTGTGTGTGTGTGTGTGTGTGTGTGTCGGGAGAGTCCAGGGATGTGGGTTCGAGCCCATCGTACGGACTCGATATTTTCTATATACCATTTCGTCCACTGGTTGTCAGGGAGGCGAGCTACCGCCCAGTAAGTACCAGACGAATACACTGACCACCATATGGACAGACCAGACAGTGTGGCTCTCTAATCGTCAGAATTACGGTGGTATATTGTTACTTGTATGGCAGGTGTCGGCAGGTAGTGACCCCCCCCCCTCCAACGATGAGGGGGGGGTCTTGAAAGAGCTTGAAAGAGAAAGGGAATAATCAGGAGAAAGTGCCAAGCCATTACGACTATATATATATATATATATATATATATATATATATATATATATATATATATATATATATATATATATATATATATATATATATATATATAGCACTTGGAAGGTGTCAGGATAACACTGCTCCTGTGCTAGGTAAGTCCACTACGGGATCACCATAGCCCGTGCTACTTGGAACTTGTTCCGAGTAGCTGAATCTATAACAACAACACATTTCAGGATAAGGACTTGGGACGGGGGAGAAAGGAATGTTGCCCAACCACTTTAAATGGTAGGGGATTGAACGCCGACCTGCATGTAGCGAGACCGTCGCTGTGCCGTCCAGCCTAAATAGCTTGAGATACTTTGAGCTCTGTAACTATTTCATTCACTCGCAGATATTGTGCTCTACGAAAATTTTTCTATTCAGGGGTCAGATTCACGAAAGCACTTACGCAAACACTTACGAACCTGTACATCTTTTCTCAATCTTTGGTGGCTTTGTTTCCAATTATTAAACAGTTAATGAGCTCCGAATCACCAGGAGGCTGTTTATAACAATAACAACAGTCGAATGGGAAGTTTTCATGCTTGTAAACTGTTTAATAAATGCAACGAAAGCCGTCAAAGATTGAGGAAAGATATACACGTTCGTAAGTGCTTACGTAACTGCTTTCATGAATCTGGCCCCAGGTTAGTACACTAGATCACATCCCATTTTTTTCCATATTTGACCAGGTGTCGCAGGTACCAACCATCTCACAAGATAGTTGGTACTTGGGCTGTCTCAGGCCAACCATCTTACCATCTTGTGAGATGGTTGGTCAACTTAATATTGATTGTTAATAACAAAAGCATAAATAATTAAAGTATCGAAAAGTTTTTTATATATAATGTTTTCAAATTATGCTTAAATGACACGTTAAAATACAATAAGATTAGTAAGAACTAAGGTGAGGTGAACTCCACACATAACTCAATTAAGTCTGAATATTCTAGTTGTAAACTATGTGAAAAGGAGCAGCATATTATCCTTTAATTTTTGTTAAATTAAAGGATAATTTATAAAAAATTTTTTATTAACAAGCTTAGGTATACATAGCAATGTGCTGCTACCCTAGTATATGAAAGATTACAGTGTAGATAAAAAATAAGCTATAAGTTCATCTAATAGTCTCCGTGGTGTAGTGGTAAGACACTCGCCTGGCGTTCCGCGAGCGCTATGTCATGGGTTCGTATCCTGGCCGGGGAGGATTTACTGGGCGCAATTCCTTAACTGTAGCCTCTGTTTAACGCAACAGTAAAATGTGTACTTGGATGAAAAAACGATTCTTCGCGGCAGGGGATCGTATTCCAGGGACCATAGGATTAAGGACTTGCCCGAAACGCTACGCGTACTAGTGGCTGTACAAGAATGTAACAACTCTTGTATATATCTCAAAAAAAAAAAAAAATATTCCCATCTCACAAGATGGTTAGTCATACATGGAATCAGGGGAGAAAATACCTGCCTCAATACAAAAATAAATCAACTCTGATTAAAAACATGAAATGTATGGCTTATCTATTAGCCTTCACTAGAAAAATCTGGGTACATGATAAGAATATCTTCCAGTATTCCTGACTGTATGAAGTAATTGCAGAGCTCAAAGTACCTCATACCATTTGGTTTAAAGTCACTTATAACAGGGCAATTACAGATATAGTGTTGGAGAATATGTCCCCAGCTCTTGTTCACATAGTTTTCAATAGGAATGTTCATTATTGGGGGATTCAGTACCTGCAGTCACCTGCCATAGATATCGATATCCCAGCCTAATTCTGGCAGTTACAATGCCACACTGTCTAGTGGATGTTTTATGCTGCCCGTACATATAATTCTCGGTTCTATACATGTCATGGCGCTTTATAGTCGTGCTTTCTGGCCTTTGTGTGTCAGTGACTGCTCTTCTGTTTTCTCTTAATTTTCTGAAATATTGCGGCTTTTACAGCAGAGATTGGAATGCCCATATCCAATTCAATTTCAAGCTTAACACATGCAGTTTTAGCTGCCTTGTCTGTGTCTTCATGCTGGACAACACCTATGTGAGATGGTATCTATACAAATGAGACTATGAAACTGTTTCTCTTTGTATTAATAATGGTGTGAAAAAAAAGGACACCAACCAAAGAAAACGTTGGTGTGAACACAGGAGCCCAACCGACCGTGGGGTCCGTACACTAACACAAATGTAAACAAAACAGGTTAGTATTTGCTGGCGTACTATATCCCTTTGCACACGAAATATAGTTTATATATTTTATCCTTATAACGACGTATAAAACAATATGTTCATTCATTGTGTTTTTAGATGAATTGAGCACAGTTCTCGGAGCCACTCTTTAGATAGGTCACTGTGCTCTCATGTGGCTCACCCCATAGTCACTCTGCACGGTTGATACAGGACATTAGAGGGTAGAAATAGTTTAAGCTACTCTAACCTTTTGAGATAGTATTTTATTGTCTTAATAAACGTACTTGAACTTGATACAGTACAGTACATCAGTCAACAACAATTAACTGTATGTACTAAGCACTAGAATCTTACCTATATGAGGCATTATATTACGATTTGCAGTATTGATTGAAGGTCAATATGTGAACTGTATCAAACTGTAGTTCACATCTTGAACTGCCACATATTTGCTGCCGCTACTACGCCCGAAATGCTATGCGCCTTAGTAGCTTTGCAAGAATGTAAGAACACCAATGTTCTGTACTCTCACAAACCTATTGTACCTTCTTCTATATAAATAAATAAATAATTATACACTCTGGTCTAGACTGCCAGGAGTAATGAACATAGGATCTATGGTTAGGATAGGATAAGCATCAGATGCATTACCAAAGGCTAAAGGAGTCAGATTACTTCATACTGGATCTGTTCATCAACATATTCATAACTTAACATAACAATGTATATATATATACTTTTTTATTTTTTATTTTTTTAGTTTATACATTGACATGAGACTTTAACATTCACATGCAATACAGAAAAAAAGAATGTTCAAAACAGTTGGAATACTTTTACAATGACCTCCCCTCCTTCCCTTTACTCTGCTCCTCTCACGCTACCTGTATAGCCCATAAATAACTTTCTAATTTAGCTGTGTCTCACAGAATCTGCATATGTGACTCGACCACAGCAAAGAACTTCAAACCCATCATCACTCGGCAATAACCAGCTATCACAACTATAAAAATTTTTGCTATTTGGGAGCCGGTCGGCCGAGCGGACAGCACACTGGACTTGTGATCCTGTGGTCCCGGGTTCAATCCCGGGCGCCGGTGAGAAATAATGGGTAGAATTTCTTTCACCCTATGCCCCTATTACCTAGCAATAAAATAGGTACCTGGGTGTTAGTCAGCTGTCATGGGCTGCTTCCTGGGGGTGGAGGCCTGGTTGAGGACCGGGCCGCGGGGACACTAAAGCCCTGAAATCATCTCAAGATAACCTCAAGATAAGAAGATCATACATTCCATACATTCTTTTGTGCTCTTTACACTTACAAAGCGCTATTTTGTCCTTCAATGTTAACCCTAACTATGAACTCTTCCAAGGTGGATGTACTGTACTAGAATCTGAATATTGGTCAAGAAATAAATATTTCTGACATTTTTCAAGTGTGATTAAATCTATGCACGTGCACCATGCAATAATGACACCAGTATTTTAAATATGTTACTCCTATTCTAATTTAGTTAAGAATTTAGAAATATATTCTTTATTCTAAATCAAATGTAAAGCAAAAATGTATGTAATTTCTTTGCAACAGTACCCACACCATATTATTATTCACATTGTCATGCAAATGCATTATTAAACCACTTTTATACAAGAACCTTGTGTTACTAATTCACCTACTACTGTACTTCTAACAATATAACTCCATCAGTATGATTTCTCATTGTACCCATCTTTTCCTATTACTCGTGTTATACTGTATAACCATTACCCAGATTTGATCAACAGTATCTCCCGATCATGTTAATTATTAGATGCTGACTAGTTTAATTACTTTGTTAAAATTGATTATTAACTTTATATAGTATTACAGTACTGCAAATTCTCAATGCATACTTCAATCACTAGTTTTTGGTACTTTAAGATTGATTGTGCTTATTTTATATTAAATAGCAATATAGATTCTCTAGGTATTCCTTGACACTTTTTTTTTTTTAGCTATTAAGGCTTTCCTTAAATGCTGTGTTTCGTAGTTGGTCTTTATGAGGATGTGCCATGTAGCATGACACAAAGATTTGCTTTAAGCCCATTGTACTTTCTTGTAAATATCTAAAATGCAAAACGAAATGAGTTTTTGTGTTTGAGTTTAAAAAATAAAGCTTATTTACGCTGTTGTTTTAATTCAAAGTTAGATTATGTTCCAGTCACCTGGGCTGTATGGGTCTCGAACCATGGACCCCCACGCGTGTGAGGCCGATGCTCTATCTATATTTTATTTTGATTATTTTGATTTAATATTTCTTCCATAATTAATTCCAAGTATTGTATGTTATATACATTTATTTCTTGCATAATGCCTTTATTTGCTTTATTCTAGAAATTAAAATTTTTTGATAATGCTTAAAATTTTGCTTACTTCCTTTAGCTTTTAGTTCTTTTGTAGATGGAAACATGCAATAAATATATATTACATTTGAGTTCATTTTTTTCAGGTACACCATGAATAACATACGAAGCAAAGTGCTTGGTTCACTAATTAGTGCAAAACCAGCGTTTAGTTTATGGACACAAAATACGAGAACACGAAACTTAACAAATATAGGCTATATACAGAATTCAGTGGTGTTAAATACAAATGTATTCAATCGAAACAATGTTTTTATGGGTAATAGCCTGCTTGTTCAGAATATTTGTTGTGTAAATGAATGTAAATACTATAGCAAAAATGAAAATAATTGCTCAGTGAGTTCAACTCTAAAGAACAATGATGCAAGCATAGTCATAACAAATAACGATGCTCGTACACTCATGATTCAAGATGATGTGTGTGATTCTCTGGCATCTGGGCAAGAGGGCAGCTTACCCATGAGTAGTGAAGAAGGTAACTGGTCCTCGGAAATGAAATGGATAATGAGCCAAGAAACCAAGGATGTTCTTTGCCCCCCTAAAGACCTCTCAGATATTGATGGTTTAACTCCAGATGTGAGGCCGTCATTCAACTTTGCTGCATATGTGAACAAGTAGGAAAGAACAATTGTATATGTTTTCTCAGTTATATAATGTTTATACTAATTATTCATGATTTATTACATAAAGCTTACATTGCATATTGTGAAACTTATGAGTTAACTTAATTTTAGCAGATATTGCAACTGTAATCTGTTAAATAATGAGAATCAATATAGTTCTGAGATATAAGAAGGATATCTTGTATAGTATCTGCTTTTGAAGTAAAAAAAAAATAAAGTGTTTATCCCTCTCAATAACAGTACAGGACTGTAGTTCGTACAACTGATTTTATATTTGATACATGACATGCAAATGCCAGGTTTGGTCTTTTGATTCCACACAATTATCCTGTGGTTTATGCACGTTTTGGATTATATTTTTGTATCATGCATTCTGTACTTCATTTTGTACAGTACAATACTGTATTTGTAGCCAGAAAGTGTGTGTGTGTGGGGGGGGGGGGGGAAGAGATGTTTGTATTTAATAATAATGTTCCAGTAGGGGGTTCATTGAGAGAAGTGTGGGGGAAAAAAAATGTTTGAAGGACTTTGGAATGCATTCTGATTTTAACCTATTGTCAGATAACTCCAGTCTAGTTGATGGGCATGATTGCTAAACACAGGATGATTTCTGTGATTCCAATGAAAGTGTGCCAGGTTGTTCTGGGTGTATATAATCATGAAGGGTGTAATATCTCTCCAACTTTTCTCCATATTCACACACGTAGATGTAAGCATTTGAAATAGGCACAAAAAGACTAGGATAAAGTTGCCAGTCTCCGCACACTTGGTGGATTTGGAACATCAGTGTACAAGCTTTTCGTGATACACAACTCCTTGGTCCATGGACTGGATGAGAGAGATGGTATTATGAGTTAGTGCTACACACATCTTATTTTACCATCAGCTGAAGTTAAGGGTCAATAGTGGGGTGAGGTGGAGTATTATTCAGCCATAACAAAGACTGAATTTTACTTAACCTCCCTCTATTAGATTTTCTTTATCTTCTTTATAACACAAAATTGTTTAAATCATAATATTTTGCAGATTATTGTCTGATTGCTCAAAAAAAGTTGTAAGCTCTTGATTTTTGCAGCCTTTCCAGTGACTGCATATGTGGTTTTGTATGTGTGCCATCTCCATTTATACATGCCATGGCTGACAATCTGCCTTTATAACTTTACAACCTGTCACTGACACCTCTCTTTTAATAACTAAAGATTTATCAGGGAAATTCTTCCAATACAAACCAGCTTCATTAGCTTTGTAAATTTCAAACCAATATATATATATATATTGCTTGAAAATGTTTAAGTTTTTCATTCTTGAATAACTCAACACTACTTTGATTGGCACTCAATGATTTGGAAGTGAGGTTATCTTGAGGTTATCTTGAGATGATTTCGGGGCTTTTTAGTGTCCCCGCGGCCCGGTCCTCGACCAGGCCTCCACCCCCAGGAAGCAGCCCGTGACAGCTGACTAACACCCAGGTGCCTATTTACTGCTAGGTAACAGGGGCATTCAGGGTGAAAGAAACTTTGCCCATTTGTTTCTGCCTCGTGCGGGAATCGAACCCGCGCCACAGAATTACGAGTCCTGCGCGCTATCCACCAGGCTACGAGGCTCCCCCGAGGTGAAGGGCATATAATCTTGCAATGCAGAACTGAAAGTATTCTGCGCTTTCCTTTTGATACGCATCTAGTTTGTATCTTTCCCAAATATTCATTCCATGTCTTATGATTTATTTGTTGTGGGTTTAGAGCTCTTCTGTAGCTCAGCAATAGACCACGCTTTTGACCTAATAATTTGATCATTCTTCCTCATGACCTCAACCTTATTGAATCTTATTATATATTGAACACCCATAAGAACATAAACACAATTAACAGAGCAAGTCATGAGAGGATGATATATTTTGCTCAAGGGTGAGCTTAATTAGTCTACAAAAGAATTTCTTGTTATTGTCGATGGGAAGAATTATTTAAAAGAAATTTAATCTTTAGATGCTTTAGCCCATGTTTGTATTTGTAATATGTATTAAACTGCTTGGCTATATTTAACTTGTCCATGGAAAAATTTTGCTATATATGGAGCAGAGAGGATATTTGTCCTGCAATCCTGGCTCCTTTTGCTTGACTCTGCATTCAAGTGACTTCTTGGTGCACTGCTCAATCTTTTTACTCTTTACACTTTTCAGTGTCTTGCTTATCAATTATGTCTCTTCACCCTAGTTATTTTCCCCTTTACAGGTTTAACTATTTTTGTTTTTCCATGTATTTTTAAGATATGATGGGCAATTTGAAATAATAATTATATCTCTATAGGTTATATAAGAATGATAAAAATATAATAGTGTCTGATGCACTCTGCTAATTTCAGATCCCACATGCTACAAGAAATGGTAAAACTTGGGGTGGACCTCAGTAAGTGGGAAAAGTGCAAGGGCATTGGCTCATTCATCCTCAGGTTGGAATTTGAGAGGGATATGAAGCAACATATAGTGTAAGTTATAAAAGTTAAATGTTTTTTAGTAAAAAGATTTGTTCTTACACAGGTATAAAGCCTGTTTTGGTGTTCATGGAGGTCCAGCATTTATATCTGATCTCTGTTTGGTAATACCACACTTGAGGTTCTTTGTAGGAATATAGTTCAACTTCTTACATCTGAATCTCCATAAAACGTAAGCCTCCAAACGGCATACAAAATTTGCTGTCCAATCTCCACTTTGAAATATGATTTCAATCTGGATTCATGGACAGTATAGTATAATTTTTTCCAGCTGAATGTATTGATTTGCTACTTTTATTATTTTACTTTAAATAATACATATTATTTAAGAAAAAAAAACTGAGCCTAAGCCTAAGGAATCAGTTGCTTCCTTAGGCAAATTGTGCCTCCCTGCAGGGTCTTTCTCCCTCAACCAGGGTCAAAAGGACCCTCTCATTGACCCTGCCAACCCAAACAGTAAGAAAGACACTGTAGAATTTTCAGTCCTGCTGGAATGATAAGCACATGGCACTTTTTTCTACACATAAGACACTGGAAATTCTCAATGCAACCAGGAATGACATGCGTGAAGGTACATATTTCTACATTCAGTAAAGTCACAAGTTAATGCGTTCAAATGGAACTTACCTCATAAGGAGCTCCTTTCTTTACCAGATAACCAAGAATCTGGTCTTGGAGTTAGGCATGTGGGCTACACATAGGCACATATTAGGATGTTCAGTTACAGCATATCAGGGCCTCCCTTGAACTCTCTCTCTCAGGTGTCACCCGAGTTTTACCCTGGGCTTTCATCTCACCAGGGAGCCGCCAATAAAAAAAAATAATAATAATATCCGTCTTTCACACCTCTACTATTAACACTGGCAGAGTACACACTGGAGAGTCATTCAAAACTGGACTTAAATATGGAGAAGGGGGTCAACATCATACTATTGGGAATTCGGCTCAGAACTGGCGTACAGTATACAGTAAACCTCTCACTTCCAAGTTTTATCAAAGATGCTCATCCGTGACTTATCTCCTCCTTGGTCACAAAAACGGTTTCTTGCGCTATTTAATTTCCCTGACTCCTCACTGTGGTCAGGTGGGTGATTAACTCTCAGTGTGTGTGTGGGGGGGGGGGAGTCCTACATCGTGAGGCTACATGGGGGTTCATAACAAGCACAGCCTACCCTGGCTGTGCAAGATCATGTCTATGTGACCAGCGGGACCATGCCTCATTAAGCAGCCAATTCTCCTGCTTAGCAAGAATATTTTCATGTCCAGTTTAATTAATTTTGTTGGGGACAGGATGCCTGTGTATATGTTAGGTTTGTATCAAGGTTTCCCTATGGCCAAACATCTGATTATTTGGCTTGCTTTTTACACAGGTTAAATGTGTGTTGAAAATATAAAAAGCCACAAATGTTAAATGTTTGGAGTTAAAACTCTAAAACCAACCATAATGATTTTTATTTGTAAACTTTAGAAATATTGCTACCCACAGGTTTTTGCATGATGTGGGTGTTGCAGCAGAAGATCTTGGCCAATGGCTGTCTATTAACCCAATGATATTTAAAGAAACATTAGATGATCTTCATGCTCGTTTGAACTATCTCCATTTAATGAACTTTACTCAAAATCAGATTACTCGAATCATATCCAGGAACCCTTACTGGCTACTCTTCAGGTAAGACTCATTTAAAATGTATTAAAATAAGGGCAAATTTGGGAATCCATTTATCAGGATAATTGTTTTTAATACACTTTCAAAGTAATCACTCTTACACAATTTGACCATCTTGGGACAGAAAAGAGTTCAAACATAGGATTGAAATTGGGTATTGGATTATTCACTGCTACCGTAGCAAAATATTTGGTTTATGATTGAAAATATATCACAATTCCTGTTATGAAAATAATACTGTATATTGTATATGACTACTCCCAAAGGGTTGAGGTGTTGCTTCACATATAATCTTGGAATTATGTCTAAGTGGTGGTGTTAATTGCATGAGAGGTGAATTTTGGTAAAGTTGGGACTTCAAAGGAGGAGTTAGGTCGAGATACTGGGGGTTCTAGAGTTACTTGGAGGAAGGATATTAGGTTCTTAAATGACAGCTTTCGTTGCAACTCTTGAAAGGAAATTTGTGTTACTTGTCTTTTAATACTCAAAACTTATTTATATACAGTATACAGTACAGTATTTCTAAAGTTCACCATGTGCCGAGTACTAAAATTGGTATTTACTGAACATTAGAATAATGTACATTGAAGATGGTTGTTAATATCCTCCATGCTTTATATATTCAATCCAGTTATATAATTGCAGCAATACAATGAAAAAGTTAAATTACATCTTCAGTTTAATAATGCTTCACATTTTGTGACTTGATAAATATTTTAAATGTTATTTTAATATTCATGTATTATAATTTCTTATTTTTGTGAATGATACAGTACACTGTATACATAAGAATTGTATGATTAGATTTTTCCACGTATTTATAAAGAATAAATAAAAAAATACTTTGATTTACAAACTTAATTTTGTAACCTCTTTATCTCTTACTGAAATTCAAATATAAAATATTTGCAAAAATTGTCTGCAAAAACTTGTATTCATAAATAGTTGTACATTTATTACCAAATTAGCTGATACAAAATTTCAGTACATTGTCTTGCCATTTAACCCCTTTTAGCTAATGGTTTGATGATATTTAATTTCATGTGATTTAAATATTTGTATCTTGATTTCAGTAATATAAGAATAGACAACCGTCTGGGGTACTTTCAAAAATCCTTTGATTTGACTGGTGCTGAAGTGAGGTCACTGGCGGCCAAGCAGCCAAAATTAATCACACTTAACTTATACAATGTTCAGGTAACAATTATTTATATTTTGGTGTGGGTAAATGCATTGTCTACATATTATTTATGTTCTTAAATTTGCAATAAGTTCATAAAAGATTGGCAATAATACCCTAATAGAACAAAAACCTTAAAATGGTTAAAATTTCAGTGCTGTAGCCCATTATATTGAGGTTCCGTTGTATTACACTTGTGAATCACTAGTATGTGGATGATCAGACAACCTAGACATACGATGCCTCTGCTGCCACTCATATGGCAATACAAATGGAAAAAAACAGCATCTGGAGTCACATAAGTAGGTTATAAGTGATTATAAATAAACATGAAAATTTAAAATATTTTTAGAGCTAAGTAGCAGTAGTGTCAGACAAGAAGTGTATATACAGAACATAAAAAAATATTCAAAGGATGTGTTTATATTTTCAGCGTACATCTTTCGCTGTTGTAGAAGAGATGGGATTTACAGCGACAGAAATGAAGAGCCTGCTGTTAACAAAACCAAAATTGTGGATGGCACGTAGGTTATTTGAACAAATTTACCATTTACCCCCAATATAAATAAATCCACAAGGGCCGTGACGAGGATTCGAACCTGCATCCGGGAGCATCCCAGACACTGCCTTAATCGACTGAGCTACCCCTAATATATTTATGCGTGGAATGGTTAAATTTTTAAGAGATGCATATAATGCCTTTTTTAAGTTTATGCTCGCATGCTCCCACTTGGGCTGGATGGTAAAGCAATGGTCTCGCTTCATGCTGGTCGGCGTTCAATCCCTGACCGTCCAAATAGTTAGATACCATTCCTTCCCCCCCGTCCCATCCCAAATCCTTGTCCTGATCCCTTCAAAGTGATATACAGGTATAGTCATAATGACTTGGCACTTTTCCCTGACAGTTCTCTTCCCTTCCCACTCCCAAAATTAAGTTTGGTAGTTCTGCATGTTTTTTGTTTAATGTCTGCATTTTTTTTTTTTTTTAAATATAATACTGTATTGATATAACATGGCAAAATGAGAATGGCATGGATTAAATATGAATATACAATTGTTTTTGGCAAGCAAAATATTTAGGATAAGTTGAAAATCATATACACATAATTTTGCTAAGAAAAAAGTATGTTTATGCCTGAGAGAATGGGATCAATACCACAGCAATTAAATAGAGTATATGTTGTATATTTTTAACTATTATTTGTTTGACAATACAATGTGTCTTTTTATAAAATCATGTTTATCGTCTGTATCTATAATTCAAACTTTTTATTATTGCTATAGTAACTGAATGAGCTTCATATATATATTGGTCATATGTAATAATATACTGTATGATGTCAGGAACATATTACATATACAGACTCTGCTATAATGACCTTTTACCTGAGTTTATCTGAGGCCACTATCTCTCTAATGGCCTTGACGAGGATAGGAAGCTGGCGACTTGTCAAAGTTTCCCCCCCCCCCCTATTTGTCTTGATGATTTTATCTATTTGCATCTTAAATTGTAGCAGGTTTTTGGCATTTACGGATTCGGCGAGTAGGCAGTTTTTTGGGTTTATAACCCCGTAGGTGTAATAGTATCACCTTTTTTCTGTCCTACATTGTAGCTGGTTGAGACTGAATCCATTGCTCCTTGTTCTTTTACATCTGACCTTTTGAAGAAGTGGTCTGGATCAATATCCTCCAAGTTCAATTTTTTAAAAGTTTCGATGTGATCAGCCGTGTCATGTCTAGTTCTACAGCTCTTAACCATTTCTGGTATGGGAGTTGACTTAGTTCAGGAATTATTTTTGTTGCCCTTTGTTGGACTTTCTCCAAAGCTCTCCAAAGCAGATACATATGTCTTACTGAAGATGAGGTCCCCATGCTCGGATACAATAATCCAATTGTGGGCACAGAAGAGATTTATACAGTGGAATAAGTACCACCTTTTCCATTAAATCAAAGTTATGTTTCACTATTCCTAGGATTTTATTGACTTTTTTTTTTTTACTGCAGCTCCCACTTGTTCTGAAACTTTCAATGACTTGCATTTGAATTACAAGACTGTAAGTGCATCCATTTATATTTTTGTGCACATTCCCATATTCCACACCCACATGAAGTATATTCTCCATTTAAGTATCTTTTTCTATAGCATTTTGCTTTAGAATAGTTTTATAACAATAGAATCTTGATAATGGTTCAGGAGCAACTGAAATGTGTGGATTTGGTGAATAATTTTGAATTGTGTGGATTTGGTGTCTAATTTTGAATTGTGTGGATTTGGTGTCTAATTTTGAATTATGTGGATTTGGCATCTAAGTTTGAATTGTGTGGATTTTAGTGTCTAATTTTTAATTGTTCTGAAGGTATGTACTTCTGGTCAGCTAATGTAATTTTTTTTATGAATTTGCAGATGGTGTGTCATTGTTAAGAAGATTCAATTTTGCCCATAATGAAATGGGTTTGTCTCATTCCCAGCTTGTCCAGTTTCCGCATGTTCTTCTGTCGAGAGAGTTCAGGCTAAAGCAGCGGCACGAGTATTTGAAGACAATTGGACGAAACCAATATAACCCTTTGCAGCCAAATTATGTCTCTCCCTCGGCTTTAGTTGCCGGCGATGATGCAGAATTTTGTAATACTATTGCTAAGACATCGGTTCAGGATTTTAATGATTTTTTGAAAACAATGTAAAATTATGCTATATGAATGCATTATTGAAGATTATGAGAACAGGGTCTTTTAGTATAGTTATAGTATATGTTTTGTTCAGCTTGAGTTTATATAATGTGTAAACTTTGTAAAATAGTAAAGAATTGGGCACTTTGCAGTTTTACAAACTATTGTTTAAATGAATAAAATAAAATGTTGCCATTGTGCTTGTGTTGTTGTTCTGCCAATCAATCCTTCATGAATGCATACATTGAAATTGTCTCCATGAATATGCAGTGCTGAAAATAACATTGACTTTAGAGAACAGGGTGTGTATGTTATTGACTATTTCAGTGGTTTCCAACCATTTTTATCTGAATTTCCCTTTAGCAATCTGGTAAATCAAAGTGCAAATATTGAAAAAAGTCACATTAGTGTATTCAGTTAGCCTCAGGAATACAGCTGTATAGGATTCCTCTAAAGTTAAGGAGACATAGAATTAAAAAAAAAAAAATATGTACACTTATTATTACATTCAAGTGTGTCAAAATGTGGTTTTAATAAAAATGAAAAAGCAAAATGGCTGAAAATAATTAGAAGATATTTTGAACACAAATGCGAACAAGCTTGAACGGTCTCCAGGCATATATGCAACTGAAAACTCACACCCCAGAAGTGACACGAACCCATATTGCCAGAAGCACTATGCAACTGATGTACAGGATCCCTTAACCACTCGACCATCACGACCGGACAAAAGAGGATGGTAGCCGAGGTTAATTCCCCATCCTGCCGCCGGCACTCTGATGGCATGATATTTTATCAAATCACCTCATTCTTTGGGGCACACGTGAGGAACACAAATGCGAACAAGCCTGAACAGTCTCCAGGCATATATGCAACCGAAAATTCACACCCCAGAAGTGACTCGAACCCATACTGCCAGAAGCACTCTGCAACTGATGTACAGGATCCCTTAACCACTCTACCATCATGACCGGACAAAAAAGGATGGTAGCCGAGGCTAATTCCCCTTCCTCCCGCCGGCACTCTGATGGTAATCTTGGGCATGATATTTTATCAAATCACCTCATTCTTTGGGGCACACGTGAGGAACACAAATGTGAACAAGCCTGAACAGTCTCCAGCCATATATGCAACTGAAAACTCACACCCCAGAATAGTATGGGTTCGAGTCACTTCTGGGGTGTGAGTTTTCAGTTTATATATATATATATATATATATATATATATATATATATATATATATATATATATATATATATATATAATCACGTGTTTATTTTCGTGATATACACACACACACACATATATATATATATATATATATATATATATATATATATATTTATATTTTATATATATATTTATATATGAGCTGTTATAGTCCATACGTTGGTTTTTGAGTGGTACATTATTGCTAAGCCACTAGCACGCATAGCAGTATACTTTTCCGTCGTTTGCAAACTTGTGTGCGTACGAGCACGTACGCTCCCTTGGGGTTGTCATTCGCATCAATTTAGAACAATAATGGTCCTAGGACTGAGCCTTGGGAACTCCTGCTTGTCACGCCCTTCCAGTGTTGATGACATTGCTGGAGAATTGGTGGTAGTGGGAGTTGGTGGTGGTCGAGATTGATGCATTTATTGTTTAACTGGCTTACGTTCAAGTTCTTTATCGTGTCTGACGTTACATTTGTGGATGGAAGTGGCTTCCACTTTTTCTTTCGTTTCATACCACCCTTCATCACCCTCTTCCACCGAAATTCTCAATCACCACCTTGGTAACAATGGCGTCCTCTGCTCATGGACACCAACATGTCATTGTCCAAATTTTCCGATGTCCCCGGCTGGCTGTTCATGCGTCACTTCTTGACATGTCTACTTAGTCAACGACACACCCATCGTTTTTTATATTGTACTGCTGATTTAAGTTTTTCGAGCAAGTCTCACTGTTTTTTTCGAAACACGTCCCACTTTCAGGGACATTCCTACAAGGACAAGAGAGACGGGTCTGGGTGCCCGCTGGCTACAGAGATGCAGGACAAGGAGGGAGATTGATTGATTGAAAAAGATTAAGCCACCCAAGATTTGGCACGGGCATGAATAGCCCGTAAGGAGGAGGGAGGGAGGTTTGTTGTTAATTTAGGATAGGAGAATAGGATATGCCCCTCGAGGTTCTCAATTCCGCTAGGAGACATAAACATGGAGGGATATAAACAGGGTTCTGAAACTGTCTGAACAGATTACAATTCGCAACAGTATACAAGGTGAATAAATATAGATTTTGGAGAGCGATACGGAAGAGTTGATTTAGGAATAAGGTTGTGGACTGAACTGCCAGCTAGTATTATTGAAACATAGTTCAACATGTTTGAAGAATAGATCTAATAGGTATATTGGTGAGTGAGGTGATTGCGTCAGACAGGACCCGTCTAGTATGGGACAAGAGGCCTGCTGCGTGCTTTCTAATCCATATGTTCTATTTTCAGTTATCTTGCCACGCTAATCGCATTTACAAAGTTACCTTATGCTGTGATGAGATCACAGTAGAGTATTAATGAAATATAGATTACAATTATTGTAAGAAGATTATCTTGATAAAATAATTTTACTCCATGTCTTAACCTTGGTCCTTAATCTCCAATTTCCGCTAACATGTTTGTCTACGTTTCATTCCGCGCTGCTGTTGTCAAATCCCTTTGTTCTGTGCTGACTAGCGTCTCTCTTGTTGACTCTATTATGATTTTCTTCCGCCGCCCTCACCCCTCGAGACTGCCTCCCAGTCTTGGCAGCTGTCATGCACGGTCACATTGTCTCTGAGGAAGGACGAGAGTCCGAAAGTGTGCACAAACAAAAATCTTTCCGCTCATTGTGGTTTTTCCAGTATCGAGGTCACCTCCAAGGTCGAATTCCTCAGGCTGCAACCCAACAACAGTTGTCTGGGTAAGACCTAATTGTGAAACACATGACTCGATTTTACCCATTTGGTCTCGATACTGTTATCTGGCATTTCCTATATTCAACGGTCAGGACTGCTAGGACGCCTGGCGCACAAATCGTCTGGAGTCACAGGAATGTTGATAGATTTTCCCTGTTTTCCGGTTGGTTCTTTGGGCAGATAGTGTCCGGCGCCAGCTTGGCCGAGAGGTGCTGAAAATTAGCGGATATTGGGCTTACTTTATACTGTCATGAGATCACAGTATAAAGTAAAGTCACAGCCACCCACCTCAGGCCGTGGTGGGCGGCTGGCTTCTGCTCTGCCTGAGGACACTGGAAAACGTTTTGCGATTTGCCCATATAGGTACGAGTTTAGGAGGGGGGGGGGGGACGTGTGTTTGCCTTGATCTTGTTTGACTACCCAATGTTCTCTGTACAAGGTGGGGGGGAGACCGGTGTTTGCTTCCCCGAAGGACTCCTGGGACACACTAAAACACCGGCTTATCAGTCTCATTATTCGCCCCACTAAATGGGCCTCTCTTTCGAAACCTCAGCACTCCAACCATGATCACCTAAAGCCCACAAGCAGTCCAGCTGGGATGACCCCCACTGTAGACCTAGCAATCCCAATATTAGCAACTGCCACCCGTTTCATGACACAGTCCCTCAGAATTTCAGTGGCTCTCCACCTTGCTGTCCCGATCCACACCGAATATAGGACCACAATTATTCAGAATTTTGTTTACACTACGTTATACCACGTTCATGTGAGGAAATTGCGTTTTAAAGTAATATATATATATAAGGTTAGGTTAGGATAGGTTAGGTTGGGTTAGATTAGAACAGGTTAGGTTAGGTTTGCTTAGAGTAGCGATGACGGGGAGAGGTACATACTTTTCTCAGGTCCTAGACCTTCCTCGAAGATTGATACCGTCCACCGGGGCGACCTTCTCTCTCTCTCTCCATGCTCCGCTTAAGATCACGTTTAAGGCTCCGCATATCCGGTCGTCGGAACAGCGGTATGGCTGCGTGTACCGGAAATGACACTCTACACAACCGGTTCCAGCACATTGCTTTACCATGACACGGCTATGACATGACACTTCCATGACTCAGCACAGCTGTAACATATTATAGCTTGAGCTTGACACAGCTTTAGCACGGTGGTCCAAGCTGCGGCCGGCCCCTCAACAGAGATGCGTGCGTCACTTGTTTATATATTTAAAGAATAACAAACGGGATTTTCTCAAATATTGAATTAATGTTATTTTATATTGTCGAGTATACGAAGCATGTCCTGTCGTTCTAAGAATGGGGGTCAATGGTGCTTACTGATGCGTGTGGTGGAGGTTTTAAACCAGAAGCGCTTCACTTATACTCACACTCATAAATACACACACTCATTCGCGTGCACACACACACACACACACACACACACACATACACACACACGGTCCGTCTAATTACCACAAGCTACCACAAATTACATAAACTTCAGAAAGCTTTCTGGCAATACGTTAGTAATGAATAAATATGATATATTAAGTTAGGCTGACCTAACCTAACCTAACCTATCCTAACCTATCCTAACCTAACCTAACCTAACCTAACCTAACTTAACCAAACCTAACCTAACCTAACCGAAGCTTGGATCGTCGACTTGATTTGGCGTCACCAGCTTTTTATTTTCGTCTAATTTCTTTATAAAAAGATACTTTTTCAGATTAAAATTATGTTTTTTCGTGTTGTACATTCAGCACCAACATTATAATGAGTAAATATATCATATTTATTCATTACTAACGTATTGCCAGGAAGCTTTCTGAAGTTTGTGTAGTTTGTGGTAGCTAGTGGTAATTAGACGGACCGATCCTCAAGAAATCATGTCAATTGTGTTGTGAGGCATGTCGAAACCTCCTTGTCATTTTCTATGTAAGTGCACGTCTCTTTTTTTTTATGAAACAAGCCACGTTGGACCAGGGGGCATGATAACGTTGACCAATGGTACTACTGAGCTCCAATAGTGTTGATCAAATGTTTCAACACTTCGTCAAGCCAGACAATTTAACCCACCGGCCGTTCACATGTGGCAATGTTAACTAACTTGTATAGATTTTCGTCCAATCTTGAAGTTATCTTGAGACGATTTCGGGGCTTTTTAGTGTCCCCGCGGCCCGGTCCTCGACCGAGCCGACCAGGCCCGGCCGACCAGGCCTCCACCCCAGCTGACTAACACCCAGGTACCTATTTACTGCTAGGTAACAGGGGCATAGGGTGAAAGAAACTCTGCCCATTGTTTCTCGCCGGCGTCTGGGATCGAACCCAGGACCATAGGATCACAAGTCCCGCGTGCTATCCGCTCGGCCGACCGACTCCTATCCAAGGAGGATAGCTTGAGACAAAAATAATGTCTCCTCGTGTAAATATCTTCTTCAACCTACAAGACAGTTGATTTTTCAACCAGCTTTATCTCTATCGACTTGAGAATGGTCCAGGACGGACCGAAACGTCGTCGTCCCTTCACCTTCTAGTGTGTGTGGTCTGGTCAACTTACTTTAGCCACGTTATTGTGACTCCTCGCCTGCATCTTTATCTCTTATAATGTTCTCTCAGACGAATACAGGTCTCGTCATACCTCACTGCTGTTGTAAAGTGCGAGTGAAGCTCACTGAAGATCTCTGACCTTTTCTTACCAAGGCAAGCAGCCTAATAGTCAAACCTATCAATTTCTCAAGAAAATGCGGCCAACCGGATTGTACCTGAGGGACAGTTAATACACTGATTACCTGAGGGGACAGGTAATCCACTGGCCACTGTGTACCTGATTGACAGGTCCAATCCGCTGGTCACTTCGCACCTGACTGACAGGTAATCCACCTCAAGCACCTGAGAGGACAGGTAATCCACTGATCACTAAGCACCTGAGAGGACAGGTAATCAACTAACCACTAAAACACCTGGGAGCAAAATTGTATATATTTTTCACGTGTATAACATTTTATCCGTTTTCCACAATTATATCCACAATTTTAACTTACCCACAAGTATATACAAAACTGCATCTTTTTCCCAAAATATATCCAGCGACCTAGTGCCGGGCCAGGCGGTGTTATCGCTGTGTTATCTGTGATAGAGTGGAAGATGACTACCTAACACACCAGCCAGCCTTCTGTATGTCAAGACTAGTGCTACACGACTAACACCTCTCCTCCCTCACCCACCCCATACTCATACGCCAGGAGATACGGAAGGAGATACGGCAATCGATCAGACAGGCGACAAATACATAGCACCAAAAAACAAATGATACGATACTTTTAGCGGCTGAAGACGAAACCGAGTCGTGTGAGTACACGAAGCATTACATGTCCGGTTCTTGAACCAATTGTGCTGTAACAGACTAATGATATATGCAGTAAAATGTGTAACTAGCCTATGAAGATTGTTTGCTTAGCTAAATGAATTTTTGGGGTTTAGTTCCTGATCCTATTATCTATGCTTCTGTAACCTTACTCGCTACCGTATGCAGGATGGGTATGGGGGGTCCACTACCACCCACAGGATGGCTATGGGGTCCACTACCACCCACAGGCTGGTTTATGGGGTCCACTACCACCCACAGGATGGGTTATGGGGTCGACTACCACCCACAGGATGGCTATGGGGGTCCACTACCACCCACAGGCTGGTTTATGGGGTCCACTACCACCCACAGGATGGCTATGGGGTCCACTACCACCCACAGGATGGCTATGGGGGTCCACTACCACCCACAGGCTGGCTATGGGGTCCACTATCACCCACAGGATGGCTATGGGGTCCACTACCACCCACAGGATGGCTATGGGGTCCACTATCACCCACAGGATGGCTATGGGATACAAAAATGATCAAAATAATTCAAATCAACATACTCAGACCACGCTGGTCCAAGCTATAGATGAACCCAAAGATGCATTCATCAATCTAAAAGTCCTGTATATACAAAAACTATGTTCTATTCACCTGGGTTCTAGGAGACTCGAACCGGGGACCCCCATGCATGAGGCCAAAGCTCTATCTTATATAAAAAAAAGTTATTTTCTCAAACACACATTAGTACTTATGTATATTATAAGTTTGTGTACATGGAATCGATATGATCATCGTGGGTAATACATCTTTAGAATGTTTTAACATCATAAATAAAACACTCCCACTAGTGTAACACCATAAAGGATTTTTAGCTATATCATTCAGAGTCGAGTATCACCCGAGGGGAAGTACCAGACATGCTGACATTAGACACTGGTTACTCCCACCTTCAGTGTGCAAAACTGCACCTTAACCCAAGATGTCAGACCTGGTGACTAAGCCAGATCATTGTGGGTCACCTGTATGCTGGCTTGCCCAGGAGGGCCTTCGTGCCAAAGAGCAGCCACCCGCCTGCCCGCCCGCTCGCTGTTTTGCAGCAAGATAGCTTCAGGCTATTTCAATAGGCGGAGCTTAAGTCCCCAGCTGGCTCCCCCATAAATAGGCTAGCAATCTGAGAACAGCCTGACACTGGAACAGATAGGTGTGGACCTCCCTTATTACTGAGGGTTCTGCTTTGGAGACTACAAATATTCAGTCCGGTGGGTGTCTGGAGACCGCAAATATTCAGTCCGGTGGGGGCCCTTGACAACACACTCCCTCCCCCTCCCCCTCCTCCAGTCAACTCAGTACCCTAGTGAGTTATGTTTATGAGGTCAGGTATAGTACTGTGGTTCCCATTTCAATGTTTTGTAAGTATCATGAGGGGAGGCAGTTGTGTAGTTTACCCAATTTTCTCTCGATGACATATAGCACATGTTAGTGACTCTGATGCTGATAAATGTAGATAATTTACGCAATAAATGTCAAGTATTAAGTTGAGAACAAGTGCCTTTAAATGCAGTCTGGTACATCTTGAGCTCATCCAAAAATCATCATGACAGAGTGAAGGGCACTCACCAGATTGATTGTGCTCTCGATGTAATTATTACTAAAAGATATCGGATGGGAAAGATAATTCAAATTTTTATCTGCAAACCTTGTTATTGAATAGTGGCAGCAGCTAGGGGCATCTTTCCCTTCTTCTTCAACCTTTATCTCTTACTCCTCTTTCCCTTTTAGCTATCCTTACATACTCTTCCTCTTCTCTCTCTCTCTTTCTTGCTTCTTCTTTCATTCCCCTATCACACACACACGTATATATATATATATATATATATATATATATATATATATATATATATATATATATATATATATATATATATATATATTTATATATATATATATATATATATATATATATATATATATATATATATATATATATATATATATATATATCCATACCCCCACACAAAAAATATCAGGACATATCCTTCCCATGAGAATTAACACGCAAGAGCAATCCAGGAATAACACCAGTCACAGCTCACCCAGTCCGGCGAGACGTGAAGGTCCACCCTTGACACTAAACCTGGTCCAACACACCTTGTACTTCAGGACAACCTTGCTGGCGAAGGACAAACAGGAAGAAAACACACACACACACCCTCCCACCACCGAGAGAGAGGGGTGGGAGAGGATTGGGAGAGAGAGAGGGAGGGGGGGTGGAATGGAGAGGGGGTGGGTGGGGAGCTGAGGGCTGGTAAAGCAAAGCGCGTTGCAATGGGTGATTCAGTCTGCCTTTGGTCAGTCTGAGGGTCGATTGTCGGGGGGTTTTACCGGCTTAATATAGTGATAACTTGGGATAAGGAAATTCATCACCCCAACTACTTCGTTTTCCTATGCAAAGGTTTGGTCGTCAGTGCAACATAAGGACTTCTATCTTAGAGGTGTTTTACAACATGTGAAACTCGTTATACAAGACTGTTGGTAGTTTTGTTACTGTAATATATAGAAAAATTCAGTCATTTCAAAACCTGAGATGGTGTGCTTGACATTGCGCTCACTTCAAATGTTCTTGTCCTACTACTTAAGTGACGTGATACTGATAAGTGTTGCAAGTGGCACTGCGCCGATATCTTCAGCTGAATAACTCCTCTTAAGTCGGGTAAGTGAATCTCTCTCGTTCTCACAGTGGATTGTAGACCCATAAGTAGTGTATTCAGCAATTACTTCATAATCGAAAGTGAGCGAGCGAGCGGTTTCTGCAATTATTGTGTGTGTGTGTGTGTGTGTGTGTGTGTGTGTGTGTGTGTGTGTGTGTGTGTGTGTGTGTGTTATTACATATAATATAGTGTGTGTAAATCACGAAAATTAACACCTGATGAAAAATGTGACAGTGTCAGACCGCGGAGGAAGAATTGAAGCAGGAATTTCCTTAAGTGCTTTCGTACATTAGTACATTCCTTCTGAAGATGTATTAATATACGAAAATACTTAAGGAAATTCCTGTTTCAATTCTTCCTCCGTGGTCTGACACTGTCATATAATATAGCATATATATTAATACCGTTTCTATTAAAATTCTTTGTAGTTTCCTCCATTTTTAACCTTTACGCCTCAATTCCCCCCTAAGTATCTGTTATCTCTATCCTGTCTACCGCAACCCACCCAGTTCGGGACGAGCGGCTGCCAACATCTACATCTACGCTGGCTAGCTCTACATAACCTACCCCCGTCGCGTAGTCCTCTATAAACTACAACATGTAGTTTTCACATAGTTCCATGACACACTAAAACCTTCAGAATTACAACATGAACTTACACACAGAAATCACAATTGCGTGATGCATCAAATGAACAAATCCACAAGGGTAATGTTAACCATGTCGTAGCTCAGTCGATAAAGGCAGCGTCTGGGATGCTCTCGGACGCAGGTTCGAATCCTCGTCACGCCCCTTGTGGATTTGTACAACATGACTGAAGTCCGGTACAGCCTGAGGTCTTACGAGGCCATGACACCATCAACTTACTGAGTATCAGGCTACTTGATCATGATGTGGGTCTCCATCATCGTAATACTAACTTGCTGTTGACCCCAATGAGCACTTGGGAATAGTTGCACTGGGCACGATTTAAGAGCAGGGATGACTTAGCCGTTTTTCCCCATCGTGTGAATATCACAATACAATTTATATCCATTCAGCGCACTTATATGCGCCGAGGGCAGCATCAATGCGTTTCTGAATGACTTTCAGCGCGTGATATTTTTGTTACGGAATGGTTGCGCAACTGAGAGAGGTAATAGAGAGCTGACGAATCGACAAACGTCATATTTGAAGTGATTTTTGGCATAACTAGAAGCGAATATACTACGGTTAAGGCACTACGGGCTCACCATAGCCCGTGCTACTTGGAACTTTGTTCCAGGTAGCGAATCTTTAACAACAACAACATACTACAGCGATAGTCACGTGTTCCCTAAGGCAGCTCCCTCCCACCTTTCCCCCCGTCTCCTCCGAGCTAAAAGAACGAGTCATGATATAGAACTCACAGAACCAGAGTGAAGCTCACAGCTGTCTCGAGTTTCTCCTGTGGTTCAAGTCCTCATCACTCAGGCAAGTGAAGAGGGGAAAGTAATTCTCTGTTGGGCGTCAGCTTGTCATCCAGAGTCTCTGTTGATGCCGGTCTGTCATGCGGTCTCTGTTATCTGTTGCCAGGGCCTTCCTTGCGCTCCCTCTGTTGTGATACTGTTGGGCATTTATACAGGGTAATAACCTTTGTTGTTAGGGTGAGATAAAGGCGATATTCGACAGTTGAACTATAGCGAGATGAGACTATTCGACCCTAAGACAATGACCAGAAAATGGCTGTGACGATGATAGGTTAAATACGATGATTTGGACTATATATATATATATATATATATATATATATAATTCAGACCTTTCATCCTGACCCGCAGACACACCTATATCAGCATTGTCCTAGTTATAGCGTCCTAGCAACCGCGTCCTAGCAACCGTGTCCTAGCAACCGCGTCCTAGCAACCGCGTCCTAGCAACCGTGTCCTAGCAACCGCGTCCTAGCAACCGCGTCGTAGCGACCAGGGGGCAGATTCACGAAAGCACTTACGCAAGCACTTACGAACCTGTACATCTTTTTCTCAATCTTTGGCGGCTTTGTTTACAATTATTAAACAGTTAATGAGCTCCGAAGCACCAGGAGGCTGTTTATAACAATAACAACAGTTGATTGGCAAGTTTTCATGCTTGTAAACTGTTTAATAAATGTAACCAAAGCCGTCAAAGATTGAGAAAAGATGTACAGGATCGTAAGTACTTGCGTAAGTACTTTCGTGAATCTGGCCCCAGTACTTCACCTACACATGCGCATCTTCCATCAAATTGATACAGCGCATGTCAATGCATGCTTGTGCGCAGTTTTTAAATAGTCCTCGTGTTCATGCGCTCTAGAATCCTCCAACACATAGTCCTATACATATTTTATTCATCAAGAACACGCTATAATATTCCAAAGTGTTTTACGCTAGGGGATTGCTTCACACACTTCATTGCTTCAACAATTAGGTGAGTACACTGCGGGATTACTTTATGGTATGGGATTACTTTACGTTGTGGGAGTACATCACGCTATAGGAATATAGAATAAAAATGAAGATACGGAGTTCTTGCGCTCGTTCGTTATAGACGATAACGTTAATCCGGCTATAATAGCCACGTTCGTTTGTTTGAGCAAGTTTCAATCCGGATTTCCCACCATCCGGCTCTCGCTCGTTCGTGTGCCGGAGACGACCCCTGGCGCTTGAGCGTTTTTGTACAGAAAGTGAAAGGTGTCGACCTTGGCCTTGCAAATAGGGTGAGGTGATAAGGTAATATACTCCAGGTATACAGTTTACCAGTTCAGTATACCTAGAGTATATCTGGAGTGGATGCTGAGAGTACTTCTATACTCCCCGGGCATGGAGCCAGGCTTGGTAACTTGATCTAATAGCCTATTGCTTGGAGCTGTGTGTGTGTGTGCATACATGTTCATTAGCATTGACTATAAACGGTCTGGAAATGAAGTCGTCTCTTAGATCACTTTCTTCAGATGTTGCTGTTGCTCTAGTTACCAAGTGAGATTGATAGTGACTTCGCAATGATTCGTCAGTGAAATCTAAGCCAAGTGACATCAATCTGATTGATACGTAGAATCAATAACCGTTTGAATCGTGAAAATATTTGATAGCCAGAGAGATAATGACGATTTTGGTTACCAGCTGAACGAATAGATCGGAATATCTGTCTATCTTGTCCATCGAATGAAAATATGTGTGTGCTTCCTGTCTTGCTAACTGAACCAGTAACATCTTTGTGGTTGCCTGAATAGGAGGGCAGATATAGCCTAAGCTACTCTATCCTTTTGAGAAGTATCTTATGGTCTCAAAAAACACACCAGAATCAACAGTGTCTTTTCGCGTATACAGCCAAAATAACCAGTAACAACTTCCTCTTTGTCTAAAATAGAAAACGAACTTAATCACCAGGCAACAACCTCTCTAATTGGTTGTCGAAGACGACTCGCGCATGCGTGCAATATAGGGAATAAAGCAAATGTGGCAACTGTGTGCGGAGGCGTCACCCCGGGCTACGTGTGAAAGAGGAATACTTTCCTTTATTGGTATACCGTATCTGTTGCCCTCAGGAGGGCTTCATATTTGTTGTTCTTGAACACGTTCTTGAACAACAAAGATTTGGAAATAAATGTAATATATATATATATATATATATATATATATATATATATATATATATATATATATATATATATATATATATATATATATATATATATATACACACACACCCATTTATTTCCAAATGCCTTTCATTCTTTTCGAAGCAGCCCTGACCTGTAAAACGTAAAGTATGACTTGGAATTTCCGGTGAACTTTATCTGAGGGCCAAGAAAAAAAAAGACAGGATTTTAAAATACGCTACCCGTATGCTATACTTATAATATATTGATTATATATCAATTTGCTGTGAGTTTTGAGTATTATACTACAGATAGTGCAGTATGTGCATCGTGAACGCTGCCGTACCAGAGTATAGTAAATAGAAGGAACGAAAGAGTAATAGATATATGAATTCTGAAGGATATATATATATATATATATATATATATATATATATATATATATATATATATATATATATATATATAACCACTGAGCTGCTATTGAGCGGTAATTGAGCTGCCACTGAGCTGCTTGACAAAAGTGAACTGAGCGGCAAACAAGGAGTACAAAATGCATTTTTGCTGCTCAGGAACTGCTACCCTTGTCATGCTGCCCTCAAGGTAAACAACGCTGTTGGCCACACACACTGCCTCCAGCTGTCTGTCTAGCCTAGCCACGTGTTTGTCAACAAACCAATACACACACACACACACACACACACACACACACACACACACACACACACACACACACACACACACACACACACACACACACAGACAGGGGGGGGGGGAGTGGGAAACATGGTTGAATAACTCACACTCAACCCAAGCTTATATGTGACCAGCTTGATTGTTTCTCGAGATCAGCCCAACCAAATGAGGCCACCTCACTAAATGAGACCGGCCAGCTAACTACTGAGACCGGCCAGCTAACTACTGAGACCGGCCAGCTAACTACTGAGACCGGCCAGCTAACTACTGAGACCGGCCAGCTAACTACTGAGACCGGCCAGCTAACTACTGAGACCGGCCAGCTAACTACTGAGACCACCCAGTTAACTACTGAGACCGGCCAGCTAACTACTGAGACCGGCCAGCTAACTACTGAGACCGGCCCATTCGTTGAGGCCCATTTGCCTAGTCAGGCAAAAAATAATATACACCCTGAAATCACAAGAGCGTGATGTACCTGTAAGAGTCCACGGACGAGAGTTCGAACCCACTGCATAACCAAAATATGTTTCACATGAATTATGTATTTAGTTTTGATGTTATTATTCCGCCTGACTCACTCTCTCTGCGTCCCAGCCTTCAGCGGGACGCAGCCAAGGAATACAAAAGGGAATCCCGTGTATCAGCCTTTCCTAGCAGATAATACATATCATTTTCTACGACATAGTTCCCAAACGTATAAAAATATGGGGGTACTATAAAAAGTAGCGGCTCACAAATATCCACGTTTTCTATACGTGGGTTGGCTAGGTTAGGTGGGATAGCTTGCGGTTCGTGCATTTTAGTACGCCCATATTTTGTACGATGGGGCGAATCAAGAGAACGGTTCCATTACGGCGACCTACAGCTCTTCTGGTTAGCATTGTAAATGTCTGGCCACGTCTGTGGTAGAAAATAATAATAATAATAAAAAAAAAAAGCTCTTCGCCCCCTGACGCAAGAACTCAACCTACATTATAACTCTTGTAACCTCATTACGTCTTTCAAGAAAGTATTGCATACATCTTTTCCACGGAGCGGCTACAAATTGTATAGCTGCTGTTGACAATACTTATTGTCTAATGTCACGCAAGACAACCGGTCTTAACAATGGCTGGTTAGAGCAGCCCAACTAGGTCGAATTTATAATTAGTTCTGGTTTAAATTAAACCCGAGAATGGGACGTACATGCATTACCTTGCTACTGGAAAGGTGATTGATTGATGAAGATTAAGCCACCCAAGAGGTGGCACGGGCATGAATAGCCCGTAAGTGGTGGCCCTTTCGAGCCATTACCAGTATCAAAAGATGATACTGGAGATCTGTGGAGGCGCAACTGCACCCTGCGTGACGGGAGATGTCTCCCGGACCAAGTGGTGACCAAATGGTGCTGGAAAGGTGGACGTTCGATCCACTTCAATGACCCAAGTAGCTGTGTGGGGTTCACCTGTCCTTCGCTACGTCCTCATATCCCCCCAGCGCCTATCCTGTCCAAGTGCTGTATAGGCATTTTGGCTTGGCACTTTCTTCTGACAACTTCATACCCTTTACAGCTGCTACGTAACTCCGGCACACCAGCATTGAGATACATGATATGGTTATCTTTGCGCGTGACAGATCCTAATATCTCTACGCATGCTAGGCCCAAAATTTCCATATTCATGACAGAGCCTAAACATTGAAATCTCTCTGCACTCTAGGCCCTATAAACATTGATGTCACTATGCATGCCAGATCCAAAACATTGATATATCTGCATATGGCACGCCTTAAACATTGATGTCTCTGCGCATGCAAGGCCCCCAACACTGATAACATTACGCATGCCAGATCCTAATAGTGATATCACTGTGCATCAGACCTAAACATCAATATTCTTGTGTATAACTGACCCTAAAATTGATATACCTGCCCATCTCTAAACATTTTAGAGCATGGTATACGGCCGGATATCAAATACCGGTACACTTCAGGTACTGGCAATCTTCAAATTCACATTGAACACAAACCACATACATCAGCAAGTTGATGTCCACAAGATTCGTGACAATTTCCAAATTATTTCGATTTTATGCACGGATTTATGACGAATGACTTCCTCTGTGCTGAAATCATGCCGAATTCTGTACTATTAATTTGTAATTTTGCAGATACATGAAATCCTGAGAGTGGGAATTACTCCACATCGGTGTGCTAGTGAAGCTACTTCAAGACGCTCAGCCTCTAGGGGGGCCCCTCGCGAAGATAGCGAAGATAATCTGTTGGGGAACCTCCTTCTTGTTCTTCAGAGTGCAATGATATACAGGGTAACCCGCTTCCTGCCCGGGGTAATCACCCGTCTGCTCGTGGCGATAATCCTGCAGCAGGAGGACCGCCATGACTACGACGCCTCCCACAGGCTCTTTGGGCAGTACGACTTTATCGTGGGTAAGTCCCCGTCTAGCTGACGACCCGCCGGTTGGGTGTCGTGATGAACTTAAGGCCTATAGCAATCTCCCAGACTCTTGAGCAGTGGTTCTCAGAATCCCAGGTCATAATAATTCCCCTTGAGATCCTAAGTTTCCTCAGCGTACATTTTTTCCCCTCCCCAGTTTTGGAGTTCCTTCCTTGACTGACATTTCTACCCCAATTCCTTCCCCTGGCGTAAATCCCTCCCCCCGTGACTTTTAAATACCTCCGCGAGGAGCCAAGGGGCTTCTCTGTGAGAATCACTTCTCTGGAGGGATAGTAAGGCCACTGAAACATGACACTATATGCATTGAAACACGAAAAAACAATCCTCCACTGAAACAAAGCCCACTGACTCAACTGAAACAGCACTGAATGCACTTAAAACACAAGCTGCATTCCTCCACCGATACAACAAATTAGACTGAACTGAAACAAAACTTCGCTGCTGTTTTGGAAAAAACAAATGCTGTTTTCGCTGTTACTCAAACAACATTTGTTTCCCCCCTTTCAGTTGGTTCCGGGACCGCTGGAGGGATTCTGGCGGCGCGGCTGTCAGAGGTTCCAGAATGGAAGGTACTGCTGCTGGAGGCTGGAGGCCCACCGCCCCCAGAGAGCGTCATTCCTGCCCTCAACGTCGTCCTGATGCAGAGCGACGCTGACTGGAATTATTTCACTGTGCCGCAGAAGCACGGATTGTTCGGTTATGTCAACAATGTAAGTATCCCTCCAGAAACTCGGATTATCTGACTTCGAGGACGACTTTAAGTATCCCGCCACAAGTGACTTACGCGTTGCCGACTACAGTCTTTAGGACAGTTAACCCCTTATACCATTTCGCTGCTGCTTTCACAAATGTATATTTAAACCTTCATTTATATTCGCCACGACGTTTCACTACTGCCTTCCCCTCCTTCTTCAGGCATGTCACTTCCCTCTCGGTAAAACTCTAGGCGGCTCCTCCACCGTCAACTGGATGATGTACGTCCGAGGCAACAGGCGCGACTTCGACAACTGGGAGGCGATGGGTAACCCAGGCTGGGGCTACCAGCACGTACTCAAGTACTTCAAAAAGGCCGAGGACTACAGAGGAACCCGCAATGCCAAAACAGGTTAGCGAAGGGTATATATATATATATACAAATACGCAAATGATCTATAACATATATTACGTCTTACGAAAGGAGGCAACGCGTCAGAAACAGGAAATATGAAATTGTTTAGATGGACAAATGCCTGTTGAGTATTGGTACTGACGTGGGGGTACACGTCTGCCGTCGACACTAAGCTCGGGTTCCAGTAAAGAGAATCATATACACTGCTGCTATATGGCTATGATGGCGTAAGGGTTTCACTGAACGATAACTGGCGGGAAGACAGGGCAGGGGTGACGGGGCGTGGGCGGGAAGACAGAGCAGGGGTGACGGGGCGTGGGCGGGAAGACTGAGCAGGGGTGACGGGGCGTGGGCGGGAAGACTGAGCAGGGGTGACGGGGCGTGGGCGGGAAGACAGAGCAGGGGTGACGGGGCGTGGGCGGGAAGACAGAGCAGGGGTGACGGGGCGTGGGCGGGAAGACAGAGCAGGGGTGACGGGGCGTGGGCGGGGAGACAGAGCAGGGGTGACGGGGCGTGGGCGGGAAGACAGAGCAGGGGTGACGGGGCGTGGGCGGGAAGACTGAGCAGGGGTGACAGGGCGTGGGCGGGAAGACAGAGCAGGGGTGACTTGGACGGGGAGAGAGAGCAGGGGTGACGTGACGTCGGCGGGGGAGACAGGGGTGGAGGTGAAAGCAACATGCGGGACCAAGGCGAGAAGTCGCAGCCAGAAACGCTTTGGGATGAGGTTTAAAAAATGGGCGTGGAGGTCAAGGGGATAGTGTGGAACCCACCACGGGCGGGAGGTGAGCGTGGAGGTCACTCAGGAATGTGCAGCCAATCTACCTAAACACAAAACAAAAGCACAGCAGATACTGACAGATATACTTTTAAACATACACAGCTACTAGGGCTTGGCAGGTTACAGGGTCACGAGGCTACAGAAAGAGAGAGTGATAACGCCCTGGAGAAATAGAGCGCGATATAACGTAAATCTAAATACCAAGAAACTTTTTCACTTACATATCAAGGACGCCGAGACAGAGGAGTAGCTGCAGCCAAGATAGGGTCAAGGAAATACGCCATTTAAATGAACAAATCAGTGAGGAAGTAATTGGAATATAATCCAATGACTTGGCATGACGCTCTGAGAGAAAGCTATCAAGTCATGCTGGCCTTCAGTCAAGGGCAAGTTTGCCAACGTCTGGGCGCTGGGCACTGGGCATATACCCATATACTTGTCAAGGCAATTAGCGGGGAGCGTCACACCAACAACTGCCACTGATTAGTGATTATATAGAGACTTATAGGCACGGTGATTATTCCTCATTCGACTGAGACTTAGCTCATCGGATATAAGAATATTTATTGTTCACTGGAAAGATAAATGAATCGAATAGGGTAGACGTAATTTTGAACAAATTCTTATTCCACAAATTCTTATTCCGGGGGAGCCGGTCGCCCGAGCGGACAGCACGCTGGACTTGTGATCCTGTGGTCCCGGGTTCGATCCCGGGCGCCGGCAAGAAACAATGGGAAGAGTTTCTTTCACCCTGATGCCCCTGTTACCTAGCAGTAAAATAGGTACCTGGGTGTTAGTCAGCTGTCACGGGCTGCTTCCTGGGGGTGGAGGCCTGGTCGAGGACCGGGCCGCGGGGACACTAAAAAAAAAAAAAAAGCCCCGAAATCATCTCAAGATAACCATTAGTTTAGATATTTGTAATGGTCTTCACATCAATTTTTCACTGATTGGTTGTTTTAGTGGCTGGAGTGTGACACACTGACCTAACTAACACACGTATAGAGTGAAAGTGTCAAAGTTCAATCCGTCATCGTCCATTGTCAAGGCGTGTCATATATATATATATATATATATATATATATATATATATATATATATATATATATATATATATATATATATATATATATATATATATATATGATCAAGTTTTGTCCCATATTATCAAGTCATATCAAATGTCAAATATTCTCATGCATGATACATGTTTATCATAATTTTATCGAATTATTCGGCAAATTTCTGTAGTTTTCGTCATCTTATAAAGTCAAAAGCAATTTCTAATAAGCCACATATTTTTTTTTTTGGTGATTTCCAGCTGCAGTTGACCACTTTCTTGCTTGACAAATTATCTTAATATTTGTAATACTTTCCATGTTTGTTGCTGCTTTCTTTGTAAGTTACCGCGTTCCTTATAAGTTACCTCGTTCCTTATAAGTTGTCATGCTCCTTATAAGTTGCCGTGTTCCACATAAGTTGCTACAGTATAAGCAAGTTACTATCCACAAACATTGTTCCTACTTCCTCCTTGAAAGCTGCTTTTTTGCTTTTGCTTACACTGTACATCTAATTCAACTACGCGGAAGGCACAAGCTTGCCCGCGCTGGTCAAGGTGGTCACCAGCGCTGAAAACTTCACCACCACCAGCATGAGGTGACTAGAGTGGGCCAGCAGCTGGTGCTGGCCCACTCTAGGTACCCAGGTGGCCTTGGCCCTTTCAGATGGCCCGCATAGTATCGTCCTCGTTCCACTTATCGTAACGAGTTTAAGCTGCTTAGAGCGACATTTGTATCTAGTCCAAGTGACAAGCATATATATATATATATATATCATATAAAGGCAGGTAATATATATACCCTGAGAAAAGAATTCAACTAAACATGATTCTCTCTGTCTCTCTCCCTACCCCGGTTCACTGTGGGTTGAACAGCCTCGTACCACGGGTTCGGGGGTCCATCCAGTGTGGACGATAAGCGCTGGGGTACGCCAATCATGCACGCCATCCTCAGGGCTGGTCAGCAGCTCGGCTACCCCATCATAGATCCCAACGGACCCGAACAGATCGGTGAGTTGGTTTCCACGTGAATTAAGGCTTTTCCCACCTCTGGAAAACGATGTGGCTGTTTAATTAAGGCCGCTGTTATTAATAGTTTGCTTTACTGGTATAATGGGAGGGATATTTTATGGTGTTAGGAAGCATTAATGCGTCTTTTGCGTCAGGTTTCTCCATCCCCGACATGACGCAGCGTGATGGGCGGCGGGGCAACACGGCCGAGGGGTATATTAAGCCCGCAGCGGCACGCCCTAATCTGCATGTCGCCTGGCGCGCCCACGCTACTCAGGTACTCACGCCCTTGCTACTCAGGTACTCACGCCCACGCCACACAGGTACTCACGCCCACGCTACTCAGGTACTCACGCCCACGCCACACAGGTACTCACGCCCACGCTACTCAGGTACTCACGCCCTCGCTACTCAGGTACTCACGCCCACGCTACTCAGGTACTCACGCCCACGCCACACAGGTACTCACGCCCACGCTACTCAGGTACTCACGTCCACGCCACACAGGTACTCACGCCCACGCTACTCAGGTACTCACGCCCACGTCACACAGGTACTCACGCCCACGCCACACAGATACACTTCCCATTCAGGTTCAATCTTCACCAAGATTCATTCTCTAATTAAGAACACCTCTTACCTAAGCACACAAGGTACCACTCAGCTAGGTACCACTCAGCTAGGTACCACTCAGCTAGGTACCACTCAGCAAGGTACCGACATACATGAGTAATGAAATGGAACAAATATTCTTACATAACCTCTCTACCTGACATGTACGTACAAATGCTTATATTCTATTCCAGGTCCTGTTTGACAAGTACAAGCGAGCTGTTGGTGTCCGCTTTGAGCAGGCTGGACAGGTGGGTACCGGAGTCTGTTGAGATAGACCTGTGACAGAGCTCTCTCTCTCTCTCTCTCTCTCTCTCTCTCTCTCTCTCTCTCTCTCTCTCTCTCTCTCTCTCTCTCTCTCTCTCTCTCTCTCTCTCACTCTCTCTCTCTTCGTCTTGGAAAATTAAATTGCGATGTTTAAATAACACTGGGGTCCAGTTCCTGACCTCATTACGTGATTACATAAAATTTCTTCTATCGTTTGCAGGATAGGGTCCGTAATAGGCCACTTGATCAGTGTGGGGTCCATAAAAAACCAATTAAACTAAACTGTAGCTATCACCTTAAATTTGCACTCAATTAAAAAAAATGGGATTTTATTTTATTTAATATAGAATTATCAACTAGTGTTATTTTATCATTAACTGTATTTTGTCTAAAATACAGTATCAGTACTGAAATACAGTATCAGCATTGGTACTGTATTAACAGTATCAGTACTAAAAGCAAATGGTATAATCTTTATTATGTAAGTATAATATAGTGCTTGTTCAACGCAAATTAGAACGGAAAACATATAAGATCTAGAAACAGTTTGAAAGTAACTTTGACACATTCGAATGTTACACTTGAGAAAACCAAAATTCTGCCTCTGTCAGGGGCATACCTTGAGGCTACCTTGAGGTGCTTCCGGGGCTTAGTATCCCCGCGGCCCGGTCGTCGACCAGGCCTCCTGGTTGCTGGACTGATCAACCAGGCTGTTAGACGCGGCTGCTCGCAGCCTGATGTATGAGTCACAGCCTGGTTGATCAGGTATCCTTTGGAGCTCAAGTTTTCAAGCTCAAGGCATAGCTCAAGTTTTTGAAGATCATATACCAGGAGTATACCAAGAGTATACCAAAAAATATCATATCAGAGTCTGTTAACATCACATCTGTATATCTGTATATCAGAATCTGTTAACAGAAGGGTTCATTGGTACAAGTTCCTGTAGTTCATTTCAGCTTGAAATCACAATTAACACATGTTTTAACACCCAAGCTAACATGTGCCAATTACAATAAGCCTCCCACGGGCACCCTCAACCAACACATGAAAACAGCATCTTTCTCTCTCTCTCTCCTTGCGTCAGATCCGAACAGTTTTGGCTCACCGGGAAGTGATAGTGTCTGCTGGTGCCGTGGGATCCCCGCAGCTCCTTATGCTGTCTGGCGTAGGACCAGCTTCCCACCTTCAGCAGCACGGCGTGAGTTACTGGCTGACCTTGCCCCGTATCCCTTAACACACTGCTCCCCTATTCAGCGTGAGTTACTGACTGACCTTGCCCCGTATCCCTTAACACACTGCTCCCCTATTCAGCGTGAGTTACTGGCTGACCTTGCCCCGTATCCCTTAACACACTGCTCCCCTATTCAGCGTGAGTTACTGACTGACCTTGCCCGGTATCCCTTAACACACTGCTCCCCTATTCAGCGTGCATCCCGTTCTCGCACTTGCTTATTGTCAATATTGGCTTATTTAATAAGTGCATATGTGACATACTAATTGATTGCGAATATTTTAGTTTACCTTGAAAAGCTTCATAGAAAACACCGACCTCACCTAACCTTCTTAGTATGTTAAGATAAGCATCTTATTGCTTCTTAATTACAATTTTACGCTGGGCCTTTCAGGTTTTAAGGTCAAGGTGGCCTCCCCAAACGTTACTACTTATTAAAGCTGTTTTGGTATGTTATTCCCGTTACCAGGGACAGAAAGCCGGTATTTAGATATAACGAGTTCCTCCAGGCCCGTTACTGCTTCTCTAGGATACGAGGTCCCCCCTAGTTCCACTAGAAACCTTCCCCAGGATGTGAGGTCCTTCCTAGTTCTATTAGAAACCTCCCCCCAGGATGTGAGGGTCCCCCCCCTAGTTCCACCAAAAACCTTCCTCAGGATACGAGGTTCTCCCCTAGTTTCACTAGAAACCTTCCTCAGGATACGAGGTCCCCCCTAGTTCCACTAGAAACCTTCCCCAGGATGCGAGGTCCCCCCTAGTTCTACTAGAAACCTCCCTCAGGATACGAGGTTCTCCCCTAGTTTCACTAGAAACCTCCCTCAGGATACGAGGTCCCCACTAGTTCCACTAGAAACCTTCCCCAGGATGCGAGGTCCCCCTCTCTAGTTCCACTAGAAACCCATTACGGGTAACGGCCGCTGTCAGCTGTGAGATTTTTACGAGTAATTCTTCAAACGATCGTTTTAGGAGTGATCATTCTATCACGATCGTCTTAGGAGTTTCTTCAAACGATCGTCTTACAAGTGATCATTCACACGATCGTCTTAGGAGTGATCATTCCTACAATCGTTGTAAGAATGAAGTTTCTCGCTATTTTAGTTAAATCTGTTATTTTTTACATGTGAATATGCTGCATTTAGCCCCCCTTTCCCCCCACCAGTATAGATCACGCTCCATACTACTGCTATCTAACAATGTTAGATAACAATATCAATATCGTACTCTATCAATAGAGTACGATATCACATATCAATACTATTAATAGATAGCAATATCAACACCATTACTTAGGAATGTACTACCACCTCTTAGGAATGTTCTATCATTACTTAGGAATGTACTACCACCACTTAGGAATGTTCTATCATTACTTAGGAATGTGCTACCACCACTTAGGAATGTTCTATCATTACTTAGGAATGTACTACCACCACTTAGGAATGTTCTATCATTACTTAGGAATGTGATGATACAATTTGAACTGCAAATAATTGTTACTGAGTATTTGTCAACAAATACATTGTATTACCTCCTTCAGATATACAATACTCTATATTCTTACGAGTATACTCCCTGACGAGTATATCCTCTGATGAGCATATATCGTGTTGACAAGATATGATGTCTTGACTATCATATCCCCAGACGAGCATATCCCCACCCCCTGTTGAGTATATCCCTAGACGACCATATCCCACGATGAGCATATCTTCTGGCGAGCATATCCCACCCCCTAACAAGGATATATCCTAAAAAAATATATCTCACAGCGACCATATATTTCGTGACATATCATATCACTTGACAAGCATATTCACTGTCGATCATTCGACAGAGAGTATTCAATATTCGACATTCGATATTCCTCTGTCTAATATATATATATCCCTTCGACCAACTCTGGTGGTTCAGATCCCTGTGGTGCAGGACCTGCCTGGCGTAGGTTCGAACTTCCAGGATCACCCGTCTATCTTCGGTCTATCTTGGACAGTAAACAAAGGCTCGAGTGACTCTGTATTCCGTATCGCCCGTCCCGAGGCCATACAGCAATATCTCAAGTACAAAAAAGGTGCGTAATCAGTATTATTTTTTTTCAGATTTTGCGTATTTGGAGTAATTGTGTTTAGGTCTGATTGCAGAGGGGGATGGTGCTCATATTCACTGCCCCTCAGGACGTACAGTGAGGATGGTGCTCATATTCACTGCCCCTCAGGACGTTCAGTGAGGATGGTGCTCATATTCACTGCCCCTCAGGACGTACAGTGAGGATTGTGCTCATATTCACTGCCCCTCAGGACGTACAGTGAGGATGGTGCTCATATTCACTGCCACTCAGGACGTACAGTGAGGATGGTGCTCATATTCACTACCACTCAGGACAGTGAGGATGACCTTTGGGTCATCCTACCATATATTGATCAAATACTAAGTAAAATAGTTACCGATATGATGATAAATGATGCAAATCAGAGGTTTCAGTTTATAATATTTGCGTGTAGATTATCTTTCCTCTCGTGAGAGTCCAAATCTTCTCCTCAGATTTCATAATTTTCAACAGTATCCATGTGTCGTGATAGTAACACAGGAAATGACATATATAACATCTTTCTAATATATGTTACGGTGTTAGAGAAACTTGTGAAAGCTTCCTAATATATGTTACTACGTTAGAAAAGCATGTAAATGCTTCCTAATATATATATACTTCCTGAGAGAAGCTTGCGAGAGCTTCTTAAAATATGCGGCTGCTTCAGACACTTCAGTTTCCTAAAATATTCCTCAAAGGCAAAGACATTAAACTCCGCTTATATCCTCTAACCACTCATGCACGTAGCCATGCTATCTATCTATCTATCTATCTATCGATTATTCACACTTACAATGTGTCAGAAATAGATTTTTTGCAAAACATAGCGTGCATATAATTATTCCTTTGCCACGACGATCGCAGGACCTCTGACGTGTCCCTTCGGCGTGGAGGTGAACGCCTGGAGCCTGGCGGAGGAGGGTGACCCGTACTGGCCCGATCTCCAGTTTCTCTTCGTGTCGGGGACGCCAGCCCTCGACTACGGACTCTTCATCACCGACGGCATCGGCTACAGGAGAGAAGTAAGTGGGGAAGTCGTGGTGCTTCTTTGTCACTGTGTTATTTTCGTGTTCTATCTCTCTCTATGTCGTTGACAGTTCCTTCACGTGATCCGTTCTCCTTTCACCAGCTGTTCGCCAAACATTATTTGCCGCTGGTGGGTCTCGAGGGCTTCACCATCGGGCCCATGCTGACCCGGCCCAAGAGCCGAGGCACGGTCAGACTCAGCTCCAGCAATCCCAAGGCTGCTCCGCTCATTGATCCCAACTACCTCAGTCATCCGGATGACGTTAAAACCTTAATTAGAGGTAGGTATCGTTGGTATTCGTGTCACCTCATTTGGGGTATAAAAGGTTCACGGGTTAATATTATCACCACCTCCACAGATCTCCAGTATCATCTATTGATACTAGTAATGACTCAAAAGGGCCACCACTTACGGGCTATTCATGCCCGTGCCACCTTTTGGGTGGCTTAATCTTCATCAATCAATCATATTATCACCCACAGCACCGCTCTTGTACCAGGTAAGTCCACTACGGGCTCATCATGGCCCGTGCTATTTGCCCTGCTCCTGTGCCAGGTAAGTTACGGGCTCACCATAGCCCGTGCTACTTGGAACTTGTTCCGAGTAGCTGAATCTATAACGACAACAATATTATCACTATTTTCACCACCATTAGATGGGTGAAGGTAATACTGATCTCAGTCTTTGGATGCATTGTTGATAGTGATCTTCCTTCGTCCACAGGTATTATGCTGAAATATGTCTGTATTTCCAGGCATGGGTCAATATTATTTTTGCATTGTCCTTTCCAGGTAATAAGTTGTTGTGTATTTTACAGTGCTCCTGTCCAATGTATATTATCGAATATACATCGACATATACATGACATATACATGCCAATGTATATATATCGAATGAATATTAACCTCATAATGTCCGTTTTAGGCATTAAGTTAAAATCTGTATTGTCTCATCAAACATCAATTTAATCTTGGTCTCAAGTTCTCCCTTCAAGCACCATGTTAACCTTGGCCCTCATCATCTCCCCCTCCACCATCAAGTTAACAACGAACTTAAGCTGCTCTTTGATTTATCGAGATAAGTTTCCCAATCCATTTCCCTCCCAAATACCAAATAAATATGAATTTCAAGCTTGACCTTTCACCTTCCCTTTAGGTATTTAGCAAGTACTTGTTACTAAATTACACGAAAATATAATTTAATTCACGCTTCTCCACAGGTATCAAGTTTTCACTGGCTGTAGGGGACACTCCGGCCTTGAGAATAGATAATGGTGCCAAATTTCACGATAAGGTACAGTGTATTTTTAAGCATGTGATAAATTGGTATCAGAGATGTAAATATAGAGCTTTGGTTGACCTGTTTTTCACTAGATGTGTACTTAAATGGCAGGATGGAATGTATACACGTGTTACAGGAAGGTTGATAACATCAAATGTGTTTCCGATAGCTATCTTGAAGATAATGTCCTTATAAACAGGTGTCTTGGTGAGGTATGCAAACAGCAACTGCTTGATGAGTTTAATTGGACTCATTCAAGTTGGAAACCCCTTTAGCAACTGTGGTAACTACGTGCGTGTGTTTGCAGGTGTTGCCGGGGTGTGAACACCAGGTGTTTGGATCGGATGAGTACTGGGCCTGCTACATCCGGCACATGGCCAAGACCACCTTCCACCCAGCCGGCTCCTGCAAGATGGGCCCCGCCTCCGACCCTTACAGCGTCGTCGACCACACTCTAAAGTAGGTCTCTACCATCGTACTCCGCCTCACCCTTCTTCTTTTGTTTTGATGTTGATGCATGCGAGTTAAGGCAGCGTCTGGGATGCTCTCGGATGTAGGTTCGAGTCCTCGTCACGGCCCTTGTGGATTTGTTCATGTGATACATCACGCTATTGTGATTTCTGTGTGTAATGCAAGTTACCTCCCTTCCCTGGTGACGTGGAGTAAGGTAGACACCGGAGAGTAAGATGACGTGCATTACACCACCATGAGTGAGAGCTGAAGCGGGTCCGGAATCCTGTGAAATTTACACTCAACCTGTATTTCCCTCCACAGGGTGCGCGGTGTGTCCGGCCTGCGGGTGGTGGACGCCTCTATCATGCCGCTCATAACATCCGGCAATACTAACGCTCCGGTTATCATGATCGGCGAGAAGGCCGCCGATATCATCAAGGAGGACTGGGGCGTCCCTCTCTACACGCTCTGAAGGGCAGATCCCTTCAGAGCGTGAAGGGATCTGCCCTTCACGCTCCCTTGAAATCTCTCTTCAGATCCCTTCTTCAGAAATCTGAAGAGAGATTTGCACGTCATCAAAATAGGGCCTAGGGTCTCCCTATTTGGGATAATGTGATGAACGTCAACTAAGAGAAACGTATAGATGAATACATATTGGAGAGTCCAGGGGCGCTAGTTCGATCCCATTCCATAACCTCAGTATTTTCCTGATAGATACATTTCAGTATTATTTCAGTGTGCAAGTTAATAGATTCTCAGTGTTCTTTGACGCCTATGTATTTGTTTGTAACACACAAACATATAAGAAATAGAATAAGCACTCGCCATTTGCATATGCTGAAATAACCACAGGCTTCCTGTCCCCCCCCGACTGTGCGAAACCAAAACCATATGTTTAACCTGCGCTTGAAACAATCACACATCTACGTCGTCGTTTTCTATATCTTCTGGACCGAAACGTCGTCGTCTCCTCATCTTCTGGACCGAAACGTCGTCGTCTTCCCATCTTCTAGACCGAAACGTCGTCGTCTTCCCATCTTCTAGACCGAAACGTCGTCTCACCTTCTAGACCAAAAGGTCGTCGTCTCCTCATCTTCTGGACCGAAACGTCGTCGTCTTCCCATCTTCTAGACCGAAACGTCGTCTCATCTTCTAGACCGAAACGTCGTCGTCTTCCCATCTTCTAGACCGAAACGTCGCCTCATCTTCTAGACCGAAACGTCGTCGTCTTCCCATCTTCTAGACCGAAACGTCGCCTCATCTTCTGGACCGAAACGTCGTCGTCTCCTCATTTTCTGGCTTGTGGTTAAGTCTTCACGTCCCCATCTACTACTACATTACCCTGTACTTTGTGCCTGTAACGAGTTAAAACGGAGAATTATAACGTCTCTTTTCCCATGTGGTTATTTTCGCGTATGTATCAACCGGCGTCTTCAGCCTGAAACCTGATTCCGAAAGACGCAAACAGCCTCTTTACTCTCAAGATCATGTTCTTCAGTGTTCGTCTTGGAGATTATAGATGCTATGATGCTCAAGTTCAGCCTGAAACCTGATTCCGAAAGACGCAAACAGCCTCTTTACTGTCAAGATCATGTTCTTCAGTGATCGTCTTGGAGATTATAGATGCTATGATGCTCAAGTTCAGCCTGAAACCTGATTCCGAAAGACGCAAACAGCCTCTTTACTCTCAAGATCACGTTCTTCAGTGTTCGTCTTGGAGATTATAGATGCTATGATGCTCAAGTTCAGCCTGAAACCTGATTCCGAAAGACGCAAACAGCCTCTTTACTCTCAAGATCACGTTCTTCAGTGTTCGTCTTGGAGATTATAGATGCTATGATGCTCAAGTTCAGCCTGAAACCTGATTCCGAAAGACGCAAACAGCCTCTTTACTGTCAAGATCATGTTCTTCAGTGTTCGTCTTGGAGATTATAGATGCTATGATGCTCAAGTTCAGCCTGAAACCTGATTCCGAAAGACGCAAACAGCCTCTTTACTCTCAAGATCATGTTCTTCAGTGTTCGTCTTGGAGATTATAGATGCTATGATGCTCAAGTTCAGCCTGAAACCTGATTCCGAAAGACGCAAACAGCCTCTTTACTCTCAAGATCACGTTCTTCAGTGTTCGTCTTGGAGATTATAGATGCTATGATGCTCAAGTCGTCACCCCCTAATCAACTTCTATTAAGTAAATATTATTTTAGATAATACAACCATCGTTCATATAGATTTTTCATTCATATCATTATGTATATATACGTACATATTTACATTCATACATACATACATGTTTACATATATATAAAATCATCAGCTTCTGTACATTAAAGGTTTATGATGCCATATATTTTTAAAGTCTATAATCATCAATCGTGCATAAATCCAAACTTGAAATATATTATACAAATGTATTCATTCATTCATTAAATTATATCATTAACTGTGCATATTCATTAGTAGGTCATCCATGTATAAGGTGATGAGTTGTGTGCATTCATCAGTTCACTACACATAAAACTAAATTTGTAATGTGTGTCAATTAAAATATATGATAATAACGGAATAAAAAACATTTTTAATGTTTCCTTAAAGAGAAGAAAGGCTCGGCTAAGCTCGGTAGTTCAGTAATCACCGACTATCTTGGACCTGATTGGATGGGGGGGGAGGGGGTCGCTGGTGTGAATGTCCGAGATTCGCAATCGAGGACTGATTGGGGCCTATTCCTCCCCGGGCAGCCGACTATAAGACAGTTGGGCGCGTCTTAATTGCTCTTAAATCACCCAGTAGTTAATAATTAGGTATCCACGAACTAGGCAATTGCCGTGGATTGGGTCTTGGGGGATATATTGGCTTAGTGGCATCTCGATACACCTAACTATACAGGCTTTCTGTCCCAGACTAATGCGAGTTAATGAGTGCCAGCTGTTCAATGTAAGACCCGCAGACGACAGTAGCAGAGTTCTATACAAGTGTAACGGGGGGTGGGGGAAATAACTCTATCTTGTCCATTATTCCACCCCCCAGTTAACTAACGAGGCCGGGGGAAACAGCTCTCTCTAGTCCGTTATCCCGTCCCCAGTTAGCTAACTATTCTAGAGCACCTCCAGAGTTCCTAAGGCAACCTCTCTCGTTCAACACCTTGTAACCTAGGTATTTGACTACCTAGGTGCTAAGACTACAAGGCGCCGTAACTTGATCAGTTACCCGAAACTCTAGAGAGAACTCTAGAATACAGAATCATTGCCACAAACGTATAAGAGGAAACGAAAGGAAAGAAATGAATAGTGAAGTAATTAGTGAGGGTTTGGGGTAAGAGGTAGGGAGGTGGGAGGAGCGAGGAGGGTCATTAGTTGAAAGTGAGAGTTTAGAGATGGGTGGAGGGAGAGGTGTAGATAGGTAGAAGTAGAAGAGTAGATAGAAGTAGAAGAGTAGATAGTAGAAGACGAAATGCTGCCACCATCCATTCATGATCATTACATACAAGACAAGGAATGGAACTTGCCTGTATCACAAAATATTCTCAAAGGACGTTATCATGAGTTCATTATTAGTATGTTCCCTCTGTACCATGTATCAACTCCAAACATGTACTCATTTATATCATGAACCCAGTAACCACTGAGGCTTTCTCAAATCCTCAACTCAAAGCTCTAGGGCACAAAGTTAAACACAATTTAAATAATAAATTCATAATTATATTTCACATGAAGTATCATAATATAAGCAATCCAATTCAAATGTTAAAGAGAGTCATCATCCAAGAATTCGAGAACCCTACAACTTGACTGCCCCTGATCATCACACAACATATGTAAACACGACCAAGTCACCTCACTGTTCACTCACCGAGGACGGAGTCTAAGTTGAATAGAGAGGGGGGGGGGGGTCTGTAGCTTGACAGAGACTGTCTCGCCCCTGCCGGCCGACAGCCTCCCTGATAGGGCTGTCTTCTCTCTGCTCTCCTGGCTCGTCTGCTGCTCTGTCTGTTAATGCTCTATGCTGGATAGCTCTCCGAGTTTATATTGGGGAACCTAGTAGCTAACTCCGCCCACAAGTAGATAGCCTCCGGCACTACCAAGCCACTCCTTAAACGTCGGCTTGTTTGAAGGCTACCAGCCTACAATTAAGAGCTTAGCGGAAGCAAGGTGAAATTCTCATGATCTGACCTCAGGTCACTTGAGGTCATTAACGCTTTGAGGTGTGAGATCTCAGGCAGACAACTGGCGCCTTTCCAAATCCCTGTCTGTGACTCATATTCTATATATATTTTAAATAAACTAACCCAAACACTTTTACAGTGTTACATCTCCCCTTCTCCCCGAAATAAAGTTTTTGCAACACTGCTAAAGCAAGCTAGCTGTGTGCAACAACTTTATTAACGAAAAAAAAAAATACATCCTAGCTAAACAAATATACATCATCCTACTCTAAAAAATGAAATATGTAGACAGACGTCCATTGTCTCTGGCTGGGCGACGTCACTGCTTGGTCTTGTAGATAATCCTGTACCACATTTCTTCAACACAACTGCCTCCGTCGCTTCTCCGTCGTTAACGCACAACAACACTTGGTCAACCCGAAAGCCGTTACTACTTGAACTGAGCACAGGACCGTGGAATTCGGTTGTCCCAGCTGATCTGTAATTGGCCCTACGTCAGTCACCATGAGAGACGTATATTGGGGTTCTTCACAGCTATAGGGCACAAAGTTAAACACAATTTAAATAATAAATTCATAATTATATTTCACATGAAGTATCATAATATAAGCAATCCAATTCAAATGTTAAAGAGAGTCATCATCCAAGAATTCGAGAACCCTACAACTTGACTGCCCCTGATCATCACACAACATATGTAAACACGACCAAGTCACCTCACTGTTCACTCACCGAGGACGGAGTCTAAGTTGAATAGAGTGGGGGGGGGGGGTCTGTAGCTTGACAGAGACTGTCTCGCCCCTGCCGGCCGACAGCCTCCCTGATAGGGCTGTCTTCTCTCTGCTCTCCTGGCTCGTCTGCTGCTCTGTCTGTTAATGCTCTATGCTGGATAGCTCTCCGAGTTTATATTGGGGAACCTAGTAGCTAACTCCGCCCACAAGTAGATAGCCTCCGGCACTACCAAGCCACTCCTTAAACGTCGGCTTGTTTGAAGGCTACCAGCCTACAATTAAGAGCTTAGCGGAAGCAAGGTGAAATTCTCATGATCTGACCTCAGGTCACTTGAGGTCATTAACGCTTTGAGGTGTGAGATCTCAGGCAGACAACTGGCGCCTTTCCAAATCCCTGTCTGTGACTCATATTCTATATATATTTTAAATAAACTAACCCAAACACTTTTACAGTGTTACACAAGCAAAGCCATAAACTATCTTTTATATTTACGAATGAAAAATTATGTATATTTTATGTTAATTGGCTACCAGTTTGGCACCCTCTGGCCTGATAACATTCTGTGTGGCCTGTTATCATCCTCTGGCCTGATAACATCCTCTGGCCTGTTATCATCCTCTGGGCTGATAACATTCTGTGTGGTCTGACATCAACCTGTGGCCATGATAACATTATGTGGCCTGATATCACCCTCGGGCCTGATATCGCCGCAACAGCAGGTAACCGAAAGGATTTTCCCTCCCCCCTTCCCCCCCAAATGGTTGCTTAATGGATAAATAATATAAATCTTATAGCAAAGTACAAATTCCGTTCATTTGCAACATTAACAACTAAAGATTAATTACATATAATGAAACACAATGATTAATTAACAGTCATTGGTCAATCTGGAGTGCCACTAAGTTTCTCATTGCATAAATTATTAGATGTGGTCTGCGTCTTGGGAAAGGTCCATAAGTTAGTTCATGGGGACCACGGTAAGCTAAAGCACAAGCTTCATGTTCCTGACAACGAGAAATAAACACCGAAATGTTGATTATATATCAGTGTCCCTATTAGTTATCTGTTTTCTTTGAGAAACACTTGGAAAGAAAACGACTCTTGAAGAGATTTTTATTAGGTAAACTAAAATAACAGTAAGCACATGTCGGGTCAGCAAGGGTGGGACACGAACA